GAACCTTTAACCTTTATAACAGATATAAAGAAGTTTAAGCATATTGAAGCATTTTTTTAAAACTCAAGATTAAAATTTAATTTTTTGTGATACACTATAAAATAATAAGACTTTGAAAATTATTGTTATTGAATACATGTTGGTATTAAAGAACTGGATAAATTGCAAGATCACAATTCATATAAAATAAAAATATGATAAAAGGTTCATTAAGTTTTGGAATAAATATGAAATTATGTAGTTTAATTTGTGATAGTCAATTTAATACGGAAATTGAAATAAGATATATATTCTGGAAAAACACCCCTGCACTATTACTATTCATGAATAAAGTTATGATTATTTTTAACAAATTTGAAGATTTTAGAACACATTTATTCAAAAAATGTCTTAAGTTAGAAATTTTGCATAATTGCTGAATGTACAGGGTGGTCGAAATTGGTCTGTTTTAATAGAGAAAACCTATTTCCTGACTAGATAGAGCAAAACCGATATAGATGTTACGGGCTCGATTTCTGAGACACGTTTAATGGCGTAAACCTGTTGATATTTTCACTGCCAACTGAGATACTGAATTTTTTACCATTTTGAAAATTGCTCATAACTTTTTTATTTTGCGGAATAATAAAATTCTGTAAAAAAGTTCTTAAGGCACTTTTTTAAGCACAATCCAGTGGCGTAGTCAGTTTTTTTCTATGCTTGCTCTTTTTATCAGAAATAATGAAAAATATAATTTTTCAAATGGAAATCATAGTTGGCTATGATCTTAAAAAATGCTGGCGTTTAACCCTTTTCAACGATATAAAGTTAGGGGTATCCATTCCTAAGAATGAGAGAAATATTAGGTTTTTTATCTTTATATCGAAGCGGGCCTTGATTTTGTGTTGACCTATGTGCATAATTATTTTTTATCACAATTTAATATTCAATATTATTATTTATCTGCATAATTAAAGACTTTTGGAAAGGTAAATTAACATTCTATATTAGTATTTGTAATTACCATCGAAATCGATACAATAAACAAAGAACAAGACTAAATAAAGTATTTTTTGTGTGTCAAGCAACATAGTTTTCGAAAAATATCATCAAAGATGTTCAAACTGAGCACCTCCTTGTTGAATACACAATAAACATCTTTTCCGCACAGAGTTACAACGATTTATTAGGCGAACTAGTGTAATAAGTCCAAAAGCTTGCCTAGTAATCTTCTGCAATTCTTCTCTCTTCCCAATGATTCTTCCCTTATAGATAAGGTCTTTTAATTTCCCCCATAAAAAAAGTTGAAAGGAGTTAAATTACAGGGCAAGATATGGGGCCCTTTGTTCCAATCCAATTCTCTCTAAATTCTCCATTTAATAGTGCAGTTGTAACCCTGGCGTTTTAATTGTAAATGGTAATACTAATATAGAATGTTGATTTACCTTTTCAAAAGTCTTAATTAAGCAGATAAACAATAATATAAAATAATGAATTGTGAAAAAATAATTAGGCAACTATAGGTCAACACAAAATCAAGGCTACCTTCGATACAAAGATAAAAACACACGTTATTTTTCTCTCATTTTTAGAAATAAATAGACACATAACTTTATATCGTTGGAAAGGGTCAAACGCCAGCATTTTTTTTAGTTCTTAGCCAACTATGATTTCCATTTGAAAAATTATATTTTTTATTATTTGTGATAAAAAGAGCAAGCATAGAAAAAAACTGACTACGCCACTGGATTGTGCTTAAAAAAGTGTCTTAAGAACGTTTTTACAGAATTTTATTATTCCGCAAAATAAAAAAGTTATGGGCAATTTTCAAAATGGTAAAAAATTCAAAAAGACCCCGTATCTCAGTTGGCAGTGAAAATATCAACAGGCGGTTTGCGCCATTAAACGTGTCTCAGAAATCGAGCCCATGACATCTATATCGGTTTTGCTCTATCTAGTCAGGAAATAGGTTTTCTCTGTTAAAACAGATCAATTTCGACCACCCTGTAGAGCAAATTGCATTGGGTCGATCCACTGTGCGGCGCGGGCGGCGTGAAATACAGAGCGAAAACTTCTGATTTCTGACGAACGAGCGCTTCGGTCAGAATTGTTAAAATCATTTGACATGCACTGAACTTATAATGTACACCGAGGCCTACGTGAATTTTATGGCCGCCATATTGGAAAATGTGACGTCACAAGATGAGGGTCATATTCGATTCGGATCCCGCCAGATAAGTGTTATTTTAGTAACAAATAAAGTACAACTGGAGCTTTCTATAAAAATAATTTATTGAAAAAATAAATTAGAAATACACAAAAATTGTATGCAAATGGTTAAAGGTTAGAAAAACATTTTTATTACATTAGTATTATAAATTTATACCTAATCTAATGACGGTTTTTTTTATTATTTTGAAAATGTGAGTAATTTTCTGTTTTTTCTAGAAGAAACTTCTGTCATGTTTGATACAGATGCTTGATCAGAACGATTTTTAGTATAATTGTTCACAAAAATATTACTCAAGACATGAGCAATTTTTATAATAATGCTTTTAAAAGGCTTGTTACATGCATTACAGATCTCTGGATAATTTTCCATGAAATCTTCCGCCTTGACTAAAGCCAACTTTTTAAGAATTTTTTGCTGGGAAAATGAAGTTAAAAATTCATGCTCATAGTCTGATGATATGAGCATACAAAATATTTTAAATATGTCAATAGCAAACTGAAATACTATTTCTGATGGTGTTTTCAATGCACCTTGGGTAATATTGAGTAAGTTATTCACTAACATTTGATACTTTGTCTTCAAAGTGGACAGTAAATTCTTCATTTGAAGTTATAACAGTTTTGCATATTTCACATCCACTAGTGTATTTTATTACCGAATGAGAGCAATATCCTGCTATAAAAAATAATGAAGCATATTGTTCACTATTTATTTCTACATTTTCTGAAGAAGCAATTACATCAAAATAATAAATAATAGGAAGGGTACATGATTGGATATTTGGCAGAATTTTTATTTAAGCAGGCACAGAAACAATCATGTACCCTTCCTATTTTGGAATCATCTTTTAATGCTCTCCCCAGAAATTATTTCTCTATTGAATCCTCGATTGAACCTATATAAGCAATTTGTAAAAGAATTTTGAAAAAATCTCTCATATTTATGAGAGAAAGTGGTTTGTATTGTATGAAAAACAGGTATGAAACAACAAACAACTACATACCACAATTTGTAGAGGTTAAGTTTGAAACCTCATCCATAGATAAATGCAACAAGTTTAGATTGGAAAGCCCGTAAAAATTTTGGATCGCGAAATTATTTTGGGTCGCGACCGTTATACGCGATCTGGCGCTGCTATAGCGGTCGCTAAGAACAACGGCAAACAAAAACAGAAATAATTTTCTCTTGTCAAAGTCAGAATCTTCAAAAATCATAATAATCTTTCAAAATCTAAACCGCTCTCATTAAAGAAATTCCGAAAAGTGTTTATAGCATCCATTTTCACAGTAATTATTGCTATCTTGTGAGTTTAATTCAAGTTTTATTTACTCCAACCGGTAATAATTGTAAAAAAGTGGCATTAAAAACTTAAAAAGCTGTGCTGTGTACTGTGAAATGCAAAAACCATCGTGGATCGTGGCATAACGTCGGTTTCCAATGTTTCATAGGTATTTCATACATGCGTCCTTATATAAAATAAAGTTTCTTGTATGCAACACACTGTATTTTATTTATAAAATTAAACGAAAATAATAATAAATTTGAATAAACAATATTTGGCGATATAATTCCGGAAAAAGCCGAACCGCTCCGAAATTTTCAAAAGTTTTGGGTCGCGACCGTTGCAAGAATAGCGCCAAATAGTGTTTACATTGTCCTTATGGGCACTTTCCAATCTAAACTTGTTTCATTTATCTATGACCTCATCTGATGTAAAAACCACAGATATTCTAAAAAATGTCACAGTTTTTGCTAGCTACACTCAAGGCACAGCACTATTTTCACACCACAAATAATATGAACGCTGATTTCAACTAGAAAATATATTTTTTTCAATCAAAATAGGACATAAACCCGGCACAAACACGGCATTTACATACTAATTTATGTAAACTCAACAGCTGATCGCCGAGTGACGACCCTCAGATTGTGACGTCACAGGCGCGATGCGAGGGGTATCTTGCGGCCATATAATTCACGTAGGCCTCGTGTACACTGGCGCCGCATAAAAATCATAAAAATGAAATATGATTCAAATCCAGTACTGAGAATTCTTCAGAAGGGTGTACATAATACGTTCAGCTTCACAATTTAATTACGTCTCATATTTTATTTGTTATAACTTATTACAATTTATAGATTGTAAATTTTTAAATGGAAGTTGAAAATTATCAACGAGTCTAAAATGCTCAAAAGTATACCACTTTTGGTAAAGATTAAAGATAAGTGGAATTAAGTCGGTGCTCGATAGTGGTCGCGCTATCAGAACTCCAATATTGGCATAATTAGAGGGTTCAGAAGTCAATCATCAATTGCATTGAGATAGTGAAAGTAATACAAATTGACTTTCATTATTTTAAACCAACTAGCTAAATTACCGCCGGCGGTATAGACAATGGATGAAAGGAAGAACTCTGTTAAACGGTTTTACATTTTATTAACATAAATACCGCCGAACAATGAGGTAAATGGAGAAATTTTTTAAACAGAAAAAAATTAATGTGCCTAGAAGATAACTATTTCTGGCATCTATGTTTGTATTCCCTTGTAGAATGTTTAGGTGACCTTATAGATCTATTGTGTTTAGTAAATAAATTTACAATACCGTGTTTGTCATCATATTAAGTGGCTTGATAAAAACAAATAACAAAATAGCAGAAAACTGTATAATAAATAATTACCGAAATATTTTTTTTCTGTCGAAGTCTAGTTTATGTCCAAGTTTTTTTGTTGATGATATCCTATAATTTATGCATATGAAACTCTGCCCCTAATCTTTATAATGTACCTTTTTAACATCTTCCTGTGATTCTTTACTAAAATGGGCAGTTCCTACAAGATACACCTTAGTTCCAGTTTCTCTATCTCTTAATAGCGTTACAGTTGATGGCAAATTATTGTCACAATCTTCATGTTTATTGCTAGAGGATTCTACATCACCATAATTGAGAATTTCAATTGGTTCGCTTTTATCTGACCCATTCTCAGATTCCGTTCCTAGTTTTACTGTACTTTCACTAAGTTCTAAAATATATCTCTAGTCTCATTCTGAATCCATGAAAAACAAGACTTACCGAAGTTTGAAAGAGAAGTATCCATATTTTATTCACAGAGCTCACAAAACTGACAAAACACACCATAAACACCACATAAACACACTCTTTGTCAAAAGAATGGAAAATGAAATGGAAAAATTAAATGTACAATCAGTACAATGCACCTAGAGAACGTCAGTGGATGTACCCAGATGTACTGATGTACCCACAATGATGTACCATAGATGGATACCCAAGTACCCACATAAGTACCCAACCAGTACCACAGAATGGAGATTGAAAGTCAAGTTTGAAATATTCAGGCCCGTTAGGGCCTCTACGGTTTTTTCCATTTTACCATTGGCAACACTGTTGATTTGACACCTTGACAATGCAATGACACTTCTATTTTATATTTTAAGCAATGCCGTCTCTAATAGAACAGCCTTGGGGCGAGATTTATGACGTCACGCTAGTTAGATACTACGGATTAATAAATATGTTGTAGAATACATGGATAACTACAACATATATACTTATTTATAGTAATAAATACTTTGGCAAATAAACTATGAACCATACAAATGCAGCAAATGTTTTACAATATACAAATAATGTATACATAAGATATTGGGTAAAATGTAAATATATTTTAAATTTTGGGGTTTGAAAATCGATCTAATTTAACAAAAAACATTTAATATCTACTAATAGTGATGTATTATTATTTGCATTCACAAAATTTATATGTATATTTTGCAGGTATCAATGTTCGAAAAATTATATTTACAGATAATACAATATCATCTAAAAAAAGGCGTCAGCGATGGTTATGAAATGAAGATCGCTGGCATTTTATATGTAAAATTATTCTAACATTTTTGATTTTCTTGGGATTTTTAGGTTCGGGAAAAACGCTGATTTAAGTTTTCATTTGGGTTTTCATTATTTTTATTTGGTTTAAAAAAAACGTTTCGGCTAACTATAGCCTTCATCAGTGTTGTGTCATATGAAAAAAATAGTGTCGAATATAATCCAAAAAATTACATATAAATTCACACCACATAATGTTTACTGCAATTAATAAACTAATATAAACTTATCAAAAGATGACCACATATTTTTAAGAATTATTATTCTTAACACTAAAACTATCTACATTGACTATGGATTACGCAGTAAACATTATGTGGTGCGTGGTGTGAATATTTTATATGTAATTTTTTGGATTATATTGGACACTATTTTTTTCATACGACACAACACTGATGAAGGCTATAATGTTAACCATAACGTTTTTTTTAAACCAAATAAAAATAATGAAAAACCAAATGAAAACTTAATCAGCGTTTTTTTCCGAACCTAAATCCCAAGAAAATCAAAAAATTTAGAATATTTAGAAACAAGATTCAAGAATATAAAATTTTCCAAGATTGTAAAATTCTAGTTAATTATTTTATGTGTACAATTATTTAGGGAATGTCATCGATGTTCATTTCCAAATCAACTAGACGCCGATTTTTTTCGATGATACGGTATAATTCTTACATAAAATGTAAATAACATTCGACCAATTAAAACAAAGATATGAATTTCTTAGTATTTTTAGTAACACCTTTATTCTTAAAACTTAATTTTGTATTGCAAATATACCAATTTTATTGTTATTTTATTCATATTGTATTCAGCCATCACTTAAATATTTGATATTAATTTGATATTATAAATAATCAATACTATTCAGTAAAAATTACTGAACAAATATATGTTATGCTTTACATACATTATATTATCAAACAAAAACACATTCTTCTTTTAAACTTTATCATTCTTGTCTTTAGAAAAATCTTTTTTAATTTTGAACTCAAAATAATAATCTTTTTCATGATCTTTAATACACATATTCTTTATTTTTCCCTAGGTCATAATACCTACTTACGTGTTTATCTTACGTGTTTGAATCTATCGAAGCTGAACCAACAACACTTGGAGTGGAGATTCCACAATATGAATAAAATAAACATAATTGTCCAGTTTTCTTTAATACCATCCTGGGAGATTATTATTTTTAAATTTATTAAAGATATTTTCAATAGAATTGTCTTACATACATTATATTATCAAACAAAAACACATTCTTCTTTTAAACTTTATCATTCCTGTCTTTACAAAAATCTTTTTTAATTTTGAACTCAAAATAATAATATTTTTCAGGGGGCTTTTCAGGGCATTGTTTTAAGGTTTGAGTTTGAGTGGTTCAATGGCCTCTATAAAAGATCAGCCTCCGGGCGGACTTTTGTTTACTTCATCAGCTGTACATACTTAGATATTGGGTTAGATTCTGTATTCATATTTTGTCGGTTGATTTTTGGTATTATTTGTTATTGTAGTGCAAAAAACTAATTATTTTGGTGTTTAAGTGACATAAAGTACTACCAGATATATGGTTACTATGATGGTCACTCTGTTTCTCATAAAAAAACACGAAATATTACACGTTTTGTTAAGTGCTTTAACCATGCTTTAACCTAAAAGTGCCCATAAATTTTTTATTTATCGTGATTTTTGTCTGTGTTTTTTAAGACTCTAACAATTCATCAATAAAGCTTAAGTGGAGTGTGTTTTTGTTCCTGGTGGAAAGGATAGTTATACTAGGCAGCTTAAAGTATCCGGAAGAGCAAGAAAAGTGGGTACGAGTTATAAATCAAGACAATTCTATTGAAAATATCTTTAATAAATTTAAAAATAATATTCTCCCAGGATGGTATTAAAGAAAACTGGACAATTATGTTTATTTTATTCATATTGTGGAATCTCCACTCCAAGTGTTGTTGGTTCAGCTTCGATAGATTCAAACACGTAAGATAAACAAGTAAGTAGGTATTATGATCTAGGGAAAAATAAAAAATATGTGTATTAAAGATCATGAAAAATATTATTATTTTGAGTTCAAAATTAAAAAAGATTTTTGTAAAGACAGGAATGATAAAGTTTAAAAGAAGAATGTGTTTTTGTTTGATAATATAATGTATGTAAGACAATTCTATTGAAAATATCTTTAATAAATTTAAAAATAATAATCTCCCAGGATGGTATTAAAGAAAACTGGACAATTATGTTTATTTTATTCATATTGTGGAATCTCCACTCCAAGTGTTGTTGGTTCAGCTTCGATAGATTCAAACACGTAAGATAAACAAGTAAGTAGGTATTATGATCTAGGGAAAAATAAAGAATATGTGTATTAAAGATCATGAAAAAGATTATTATTTTGAGTTCAAAATTAAAAAAGATTTTTGTAAAGACAAGAATGATGAAGTTTAAAAGAAGAATGTGTTTTTGTTTGATAATATAATGTATGTAAAGCATAACATATATTTGTTCAGTAATTTTTACTGAATAGTGTTGATTATTTATAATACCAAATTAATATCAAATATTTAAGTGATGGCTGAATAAATATGAATAAAATAACAATAAAATTGGTATATTTGCAATACAAAATTAAGTTTTAAGAATAAAGGTGTTACTAAAAATATACTAAGAAATTCATATTTCTTTGTTTTAATTGGTCGAATGTTATTTACATTTTATGTAAGAATTATACCGTATCATCGAAAAAATCGGCGTCTACTTGGCTTGAAATGAACATCGATGACATTCCCTAAATAATTGTACACATAAAATAATTAACTAGAATTTTACAATCTTGGAAAATTTGATATTCTTGAACCTTGCTTCTAAATTTTTTGATTTTCTTGGGATTTAGGTTCGGGAAAAACGCTGATTAAGTTTTCATTTGGTTTTTCATAATTTTATTTGGTTTAAAAAAAAACCTTTCGGCTAACATTATAGCCTTCATCAGTGTTGTGTCATATGAAAAAAATAATGTCGAATATAATCCAAAAATTACATATAAAATATTCACACCACGCACCACATAATGTTTACTGCGTACTCCATAGTCAATGTAGATAGTTTTACTGTTAAGAATAATAATTCTAAAAAATATGTGGTCATCTTTTGATAAGTTTATATTAGTTTATTAATTGCAGTAAACATTATGTGGTGTGAATATTTTATATGTAATTTTTTGGATTATATTCGATACTATTTTTTTCATATGACACAACACTGATGAAGGCTATAGTTAGCCAAAGCGTTTTTTTTAAACAAATAAAAATAATGAAAACCCAAATGAAAACTTAAATCAGCGTTTTTCCCGAACCTAAAATCCCAAGAAAATCAAAATTTTAGAATAATTTTACATATAAAATGCAAGCGATCTTCATTTCATAGCCATCGCTAACGCCTTTTTTTAGATGATATTGTATTAGTTGTAAATATAATTTTTCGAACATTGATACTTGCAAAATATACATATAAATTTTGTGAATGCAAATAATAATACATCACTATTAGTAGATATTGAATGTTTTTTCTTAAATTAGATCGATTTTCAAACCCCAAAATTTAAAATATATTTACATTTTACCCAATATATTATGTAATACATTATTTGTATATTGTAAAACATTTGCTGCATTTGTATGGTTCATAGTTTATTTGCCAAAGTATTTATTACTATAAATAAGTATATATGTTGTAGTTATCCATGTATTCTACAACATATTTATTAATCCGTAGTATCTAACTAGCGTGACGTCATAAATCTCGCCCCAAGGCTGTTCTATTAGAGACGGCATTGAGTGGTTTGAGGTTGTGTGTTGTTGTGTTCCGTGTTCGCTCGTTTGACACATAAAATAATAAAGTTTGACATTCTAGTCTAAAAAGTGATAATTTGATTTGATTTTATTAAAATGTCTGGAAAATTTTCAAATAAGCGTCAAAAATGGAGTTTGGAGAATGTGAAGTAGATATTGTAGATCTACGCTTTCCATCACATATAAATGTCGTTTTGTTTTAGAAGTAATCGAGTAGTTACTGAAGCACTAGCTTCTCCCCCTGCATATTCTAATTCGTTTGTTACAAGCAGTAATGAAGTTTCCAAGAAAACAGATGTTTCTAGGTTAATAACCAAGAAGTCGTGGGATTTGGCTTTGGCTCCTCTAAAACAAGTACCAATGAATCTTTTTATATCTTATATGGCTGGAAATTCAATTTCAATTTTTCCCATTATGATGGTTGGAATGTTATTAATGCGTCCAGTACAAGCAATATGGGCTACAAAGAGCACTTTTAAGATGATGGAAACATCAAATGCCATTCTACAAATGATAGTATATATTTTTGGTAACTTGGTGAATATTGGGGTAGCATTATATAAATGCCATAGTATGGGCTTATTACCTACACATGCAAGTGACTGGCTAGCATTTGTAGAACCTCCCGTGAGAATTGAGTATTTAGGGGGAGGAATAATACATCATTAATTGTGCTATTGTATTTATAGCTTACAAAATAAAGCCTAATATAATTTTTCCTAAATCTTATCTAATTAGTTTTATTCTTTCCGGTACTTATTGAGAAATTCTTTCATTTTATCATATATTGCTTGAGGTTCATCAACTCTAGGAATCTACAAAAAAAAACTTAAAAACTGATTTGCTTTCATAAAAGAATATATTTACCTCATAATTTTGAGTAACGTAAATACCTGTATAAACACCTGCTATAAAAACCAACTACAAAATATATCCAATTATTTCTTAATAATTAACATATAATGTGATACAAACCAAACTTTTAACCATTTTGTAATATTTTCAGTTAAATGTGTTGTCCCTACAATTACTTTTTTTTTAAATTAGACTGTTGAATTTTATTATTTACTCTACATAAATATATATAAAATTAAATAATAAACCATCTGACTGTGCCAAAGACTAATCTAATAATCTTGTAATCAGACAGTGTTCCCAACTCTCAAAAATTTATCTCCCTAAAAATCTAAAACGCTCGCATAAAAAACCCCAAAATATCCCTAAAAACCTAAAAAAATATCCCGAAAAAACCCTAAAAATATAAATAGTAATAAATCTTTGAATAAGAAGACTAAGGAAGGAGCATATCAAAAATCTTAGGTACACCGCGATGGGCCTCAAATATGGCCGACTTAAATTCCGGTTTATCAGTGTCGTTCTAATTTTATTTAAAAAATGTAAAACTATGATGTAGGGTAGACGTGGGGTAGACTCAATAATTTGTTGTTTTATTTTACGTTGTGAATAAATGTTGGTAGTTATTAAAATTGTTATAAAAATATATAATTCTAATAAAAATAGATAAATTATAATAAGTATTTATTAACACAAACATCCGATACGCTACTGAAGCAGGTAAGTCAAATTAACGTATCTAAATTCTTTGACATCTAATCTTTGACAAGTAATAAATAAAAGCTAAAATGCAAGAAAAATATATAATTTAGTTAATTTAAGTGAATTTCATAAATGATCGGTTTACTACACGTATGTATATTATATAGTCACTTACTAGCGAAAAGTTGTTCCATTATTTCACTCAATTTTTGCCGAGATCTACCGCACGCTACACAACCAACTATTTTAGAGTCTTTTTCGATAAATCGCGATAGTGTCACTGTTAATTTAAGTTCTGCCACAATTTCCATCTAAATTTACTACCTTTATACAACTATCAGTAGTAGAATAAATAATAAATAACATAAAATAATCTCCGTAAAGACTGACAAATCCACAAAATTTCAAATCAAATTTAAATGTGTCAAATGAATCGTCAAACAAAACTGTCAAGGATCCCCACCCTAGAGAGCTTTTATGGTGGCTTTTCCGCCCACCATGCATGAATACATGGATAGCATTATGCTCCTTCCTTAGTCTTCTTATTCAAAGTAATAAATAAACAATTTGTTGTGTTTTAAGTGGTTGACCTTGAAACGTCTAATCACAGCAGTGTAGCCAACTGTTCGAAACTTTTCCTTAAAGCCAAATCGTATTTGCTTAAAGCTATCAAACCTTCTTAAATCCAAACAACTAAACTCCCCACAACTGTTATCCAAGATTCGGTGATTAAAATAAATAAATTATTTTGTTTTATTTATACTTTCCTATTAATTTTGAAAAATAGCAGTAGCGGTCTTATCTCCTCTTTGGTAGCGGTAAAATTCCAATGAAATTATATCCCTAAAAATATCCCCAAAAAATTTTACTCCCTAAAAAAATCCCCATATAGATTTTTTCTCCCCAAATTTAGGGATAAAATCCCGGAGTTGCTAACACTGTAATCAGAGAGTCGCCAACATAGGGATGCATGATCCGATACGATTTTTACGAGTATCGATACTTTATTGTTCGATACTCGATATTCTTAACCTTTTCTTAACGCAATATCGTGGCGATATTTTCTACATTCGATACTTTACCCTGTTTATCGATCAAGGTGTATCGATACCATACGATCCAGAATAGTGGCGGCATCTAGTATTTAACTGAAATATTATTTAATCGCTTTTCTATTTAATGCTCTGATTTAATGGCTCTCTCTTTCTTCCTTTTTAAGTTTTACGGCTTTTGCGACGCGACCGACGCGCGACGCGACGGGGCGACCGCGACCAATGAATATAAAGATTACCGCGACCAATATAAAGGAACGAAGAAGGAGAATATACGTGTGTAGCAGAGGTGTGTATAGTTTTAAGAAGTCAGCGTTTTGTGACTCGCAATATGTTTTATGTTATGTTACAGTTCGTTGAAGTTTTGTTTTTCGTTCTCATTTATTTATTTATTTTATTAATAAATGTGATGTGTGTTTTCCGCATGGCCTCACTTTCATTTAAATTAAATCGATTTTTACTTGTTGTATCCCGTATCGAATTAAATATCGATACTTTTGGAACGATTTTTTTCTGTATCGATTCTTTTGGAACGATTTTTTACTGTATCGATACGTTTCGCTACGATCCGGATCGATACGCAGTATCGATACTAAGTAAAGTATCGTGCATCCCTACGCCAAACTCTTAGGGTGCAGCCACATTATCCTAAAAACGGCGTACGGGCGTAACGGCGTAATGACCTTGAATAGATTTCCAGTAATTCTATTGGCTGAAACATTCATCTGTCAGAAATTTTATCTGTCAAATTCATCTGTCAAAAATTTCAGCTAATAAATAACAAATTCATCTGTCAAAAATTTCAGCTAATGCACCCTAAGGGTGCAGCCACACTATCCTAAAAACGGCGTATCGGCGTAACGGCGTAATGACCTTGAATAGATTTCCAGTAATTCTATTGGCTGAAACATTCATCTGTCAGAAATTTTATCTGTCAAATTCATGTGTCAAAAATTTCAGCCATTAGAATTACTGGAAATCGATTAGCCGTTACGCCGATACGCCGTTTTTAGGATAGTGTGGCTGCACCCTAAGGGTGCATCCTCCCTAAGGGTGCATCCACACTATCCTAAAAACGGCGTATCGGCGTAACGGCGTAACGACCTTGAATCGATTTCCAGTAATTCTATTAGCTGAAATTTTTGACAGATAAATTTGACAGATAAAATTTCTGACAGATGAATTTTTCAGCCAATAGAATTACTGGAAATCGATTCAAGGTCGTTACGCCGTTACGCCGATACGCCGTTTTTAGGATAGTATGGATGCACCCTAACACAGCTAAAGTTTAACGTTTAACGAAAGTTCCACATCTTCCACATGTCGGTGGATAACACTTGACACTTGGCTGCCAGCAAATACGTTTAAAATAAAGTATACGGAGGGTACCGCTTAAATTCCTGTCCCGATGTTGAAGGATGGCTATAGAATTTCAATGCATTTCCTACATAAGTCTATCCTTGTGTTGTAGGAGGTTTGACTAAACAAGGATGAGCCTATGTCTTCAAACCATTCGACTCGATTTTCTGCCCTCCTTCAATACTGGGACGTAAATCCTCTCATTGCTCTTATGGGGAGGCCGTCGTATATTTTATTTAAACGTATTTGGCTGCCACGAATCCGACTAGGCAAACGAAATGCTTCGTAACAGATAATAAGTCGCATTCACCAGTTACCAGTAGGCTACTTTATAGTAATACATCATAGTAACTCTTTTAGTGGCAAAAACTACCCAAGACACTACCCGGCGGTATACCCTACCCGGCTACTCAAAATCTTTCCCCATTTTGGTCGCAGATACTTAGCAGCTACGAATATACGACGTAGCCGCCGCGCCGATGGTCACCGCCCACTTTGTAGTCGCTTTGATAGTAGCAGTTACGTATCTGCCACTATAAATGCTAGTTGGGTCATATACTTACATACCAAATCTCGTGTTTTTATCTGAAAAAAATAAAAAAGTTATAGGGGTCAGCCACTTTTAAGACGCACCCGGTATAATATGTTTGCTTTTATTATTTGAAATTTACGTAACCCGGTCCTGTTGAAGTAGTTTATTTTGCCCCGCCTCCAGGTCCCAATTCTAATTTACAGAGAAACGATAGTAGTGCCTCTTCTTTCTTAATCCCCCATGCTCATTCTCATGTCATTTGTCATTTGTCTCTTGTCTTATTTGCGATTTTAATTTAATAAACTATGAAGATATAAACAATTTGAAATTATTGGATATTAGATTTGAAACTGTATGTTCTAACCAGTTCTAACTCTTCATTTAATTATTTGAATCGAGCATATTCAGAATATGGGACGAAAATGTAGTGTTGAGAATTGTACATCCGATTCAACTCGTCCTGAACATATTGGAGTAACGTTTCACAAGGTTCCTCATCACCCAGATGTCCGACCTAAGTGGATTTCCCTTTGTCGAATACCAGACGATAAAGCAAATGCTAAAGTTTTGTATGTATGTTCTAGACATTTTTTAAGAGCTGATTTTTGTAGTTTCAAAGGAAAAAAATATATGTTAAGACAAGGTGTTTTACCAAGTGTTTTTCCATGGGATAAGTCAAAACTTGAGGCTATAATAGCTGAGGTAACTACAAAAAAAGATACAGATGTCTGTAAGAAAAAAATAAAACCAAAGAATCAGCAAATTGATGCAGAGCAAAGCCTTCAGAAAATTAATATTACAGAAGCAAAGGTTAACACTGGAATTAAAAATGAACAAAAAAATGATCAAAGTGATCCTGAAAACGCAGATATTAAAATAGAGGAAAAAGATCACTCTGAAATAAGAATTAATGAAGAAACTGATGCATTTGATCAACATCAACGTGCACAAGTATCTTCTACAGCAAATAATCCTATTAATTTTGCTATTAGTTCTAAAATTGAGGTATTAGATACCAATAATATTTGGTATACTGCTAAGATAAATGAAGTGGATTATGAGGAGAATGAAATTCTAATTCATTTTGAGAAATTTTCTAATAAATATGATGAATGGATATCAATGAGTAGTCCAAGATTAAGACCATTACAATGCAACTTAATTGATTCCTATCAAGTTGGTGAAGCTTGTATGGCCATATGGAATGATTCACAAAAGAGTTCAGCTGTTATAACAAAGAAAATTGATAATAGTAAGTACAAATTAATAATTGTTTTCATATTTCTTAAAAAGACAAATAAAAATAACAATTATCTGCTAATGATATACTTGGTACAATATGCTAATTATGATATTAAAAAAAGCAAATTATTAAACCTGACAGTTCTAATCAGCTGCTTTCTGATCATACAAAATGTGCTTTTGTATGACCCATACTTTAAGGCCCCCACAGATATTGTTGTTTAAAACGGTACGGATAAGATGGTCAGTGTGTGGCCAAAAACTGTCCTTTTTGCCGGCTTTCAAAAATATCTACCACTGCCTGATTTTAACTGTCGGTTTTAAACGCTTTCGTTCCAGTCTGTCAGTGTGTGGTTGTGTGGTGGGAATGCAATTAAGAAGGACGGTTTTTATCAGTGTCTACTCACTTCAATCTTACACAAACAATAATTATTGTTAGTTTTGAGTGGTGAGTGATTTTAAAATTTTGTATTTTTATTTTTATGTTAAATAAAAGTATATTGCTGTAGTTTTTACAATGACTGATTTAAGAAATTATAACAAAAAAAGCAATTTATAATTGAGTCCATAGAACTGTATAGAAGCCATTCGTGCCAGTAACCATTCTTTAGCCCATTTAGAACATTGTTTTTTAGAATATTTTATTTTAATAGTAACTGGCAGCAGCTAACGTCGTAAAATCCATCACCAATGATTTTGGCCGCAATTTCAAACAAACTGAATGAAACAACGCCTATGTGTGGACGAAGTCGTTGTTTGTGTTTAGCCGTACTGTTTTACCCGTACGGGTAAAATTGCTAAAAAAGAACGACCTCTGTGGGGGCCTTTAGAACTTTGTAGTGTTGCCATAGACATGTCAAAGAACCAATGAGATTTATACAATATTCAAATTGCTGTCAATTTAAAATTTAGTTCAGTTCTTTGAAGTGTCAACCAGTGTTGCCTGCGACAACATAGTTCTGAGAATGGGGCTATAGTTAGGGTTGCCAGATGGACAGTGTATAAAAGTAGGACAATTGTACAATAAAGCCTGATTTTTGATAAAAAAAAAGCCGGACATTTCTTTACTTATTAAGCATTTACACAAGCTTATAAAAGCTTTGTTCGGGTTCTTGTTATTACCGATTCTGAACCGTCCTAGAACTATGATGCGTATGCGCAGAAGGAAATATGAAGACATTATTTCATTTGCGCATGCGCTGCAGAGTTCTAGGACGGTTCAGAATCGGTAATAACAAGAACCCGAACAAAGCTAAAATTTCAATAAAATTATTTTCTTTTTTATCTTATACACTAATTTTTTTTTCCACAATAAGGGGCCGTCCTCTGCCGGAAACACTGCGACCTGTGAGGCCTATTGTGTTTGTCCCCTTTCTATATCTGCACCCATTCTCCTATCCCTGTGCCCTGCACTAACTTATGCAGGTCCTTGATAGGATGGGAGCATAGTTCCTCCGGTTCTAGCCTAGCTTTCCCAAATAAAAAGTGTCGCTTGCGATCCAGAGCCTCGCAGTGACATATTATGTGCTCCGCTGTTTCAGGATCTTTAGCGCAAAGTCTGCAGCAAAGACTTCCTTGATACAGATTGAGCTTGTTCAGGTAACACTTGACAGCCATATGTCCTGTCAAGAGGACTGTTGTAATCCGCAATTTATTCCTGCTAAGCATTAGCAGTTCTTTTGCGGTTTTGGAGCTAGGTCCTTGGATAAAAGCCTTGCTGTGCCTGTGCCCGTGTCGGTTTCTCCAGTGGACATTCTGCTTTTTCCTGATCCAGAGTTTTAGTGCACTACGGGCCATACATTTGGGTATTCCCAGTACTGGCTCTGGACCAAGATAAGATGCCGATGATCCTTGCCTAGCTAGCTCATCGGCTTTTTCGTTGCCTTGGATGCCGCTGTGGCCCGGCACCTAGAATAATTTAATTCTGTTCCGTCGAGCCATAGCTTCCAGTTCACCTAGGCATTCCCAGACGAGTCTCGACGATACCTTTGGGCTCATAAGCGCCCCAAGTGCCGCCTGTCTGTTTGAGCATATATTGATGAGCTTATCTGAATAAGCTCTTCTATTGTTTTCTTTCGCACATCGTAGAATGGCGAAGATTTCTGTCTGGAATACGGTTGAGTCTTTACCCAAGGAAAACGATAAACTTACCCTTGGTCTTTCCCGAAATACTCCAGCTCCTGTTCCTTCAGCGGTCTTTGACCCGTCTGTATACCAGGTTAGTCCATCCTGAAGGAATGTTATATCTGTCCACATTCCTCGATCCATTTTGTTCACCTCGAATGGTTTGTGGTAGTGATAAAGAGGGGTCATTTGGTCCGATCTCATTTGGAGTAGAGGTCCTAGTGTCCTGTTTCTGTCCTATTTCCCAGAGACAAGACACTTTGTTGTCGATAGAGTCCCATTCTTGCCTCCGCCTGGATCACTATGTGAAGAGGCGGAAGGTCCAGAAGCGCCTCCATTGATGCAGTGGGCGTTGATTTCAAGATGCTCAGACAAGCAAGTCTTTGCACCTTACTGAGGCTGAGCATTGTTGTTTGTTGCATTACCTTAGGCCACCATACCAAGGATGCATATGTTACTGAAGGCCTCACCACTCCAGTGTACAGCCAGTGCACCATCTGTGGTCTAAGGCCCCAGATTTTTCCATGAAGGCGTCTGACTACCGCTAGTGTAGTCACCGCCCTCCTTGTGACATTTTCCAAATGTCGGTTCCAGGTCAGTTTGGTATCAAGCGTGATTCCTAGATACTTGACCTCTCCCGAGAGAGGAATCTCATCACCGCAGAGTCTTAGAGGGCCTAGTCCCTCAAGTATTCTGCGCTTGGTGAAGGGGATTATTACGGTCTTTGTAGGACTAATATTTAGTCCCTCCCGTGTCACCCATAATTCCACAATCTTCAAGGCCCTTTGCATTCGCTCCCTTACTGTTGTGTTAAACTTACCTCTGACTAACACGACCAAATCGTTTGCATATCCCAGAGTGTTGAAACCAGCCCTGTTGAGACTATTAAGCAGTCCGTCCATAACGAGATTCCACAGGAGAGAGGAGAGAACTCCCCCCTGCGGGCATCCTCCCGCCACCCGGACTGCAACAGTCTCATTTAGGAGGGTGGTATATGCCACTCGACTTTTGAGCATGCAGTCTATCCACCTGCAGCAGGTCTCCTCTAATCCGAGGTTCCCTTGTAGCTCTCGTCAGTGACTGAAATGAGGTGTTATCAAACGCCCCTTCTATGTCGAGGAATGCCCCTAAAAGCACTTCTCTTGTTTCGAACGTCGACTCCACTTTGCTTACTAGCTGATAGAGTGCCGATTCGGTTGATCGTCCTGCTGTATAGGCATGCTGGTCTTGGTGAAATGGTCTTTTTCCCATTATTTCATCCCTAACATACCTGTCCATTAGTTTCTCAAGAGCCTTTAGTACGAACGACATAAGACTGATGGGCCTAAAAGCCTTTGCCGTAGAATAGTCCAGACGCCCATTCTTGGGTATAAAAGCTACCCTGGTCAGCCTCCAAATTCTCGGTATATATCCTAAGGCCAGACTAGCTCTTACTAGTGTACAAAGTTTGCTCGTCAGTAGGTCTGGTCCTTTCTGGAGCATTATTGGACAAATACCGTCCGGTCCCGGTGATTTGTATGGCTCAAATGAGCTTATAGCCCATTTTATCTTTGATTGGTCAATCACCCTTTTTGAAACCTGCCAGTCTTCCCTTGAGGCTCTTCTCGTGAAGTTCTCAAGTCCACTACTCTTCCAGGTTTCTGGGGATTGCTCCAAGGCTATTGATCTGGGAAAGTGTACCCGAAAGAGTTCGGTCAGCGTCTCTTTCCCAGTGGATGTGTATTCTCCTGCACTAGTTACAAGAGAGTTAATTGAGGTCTGAGAGTCCTTAGAGAGTATTTTTTGAAGTCTGGCACATTCTGAGGTACTATCAATGCCCTCGCAGTACCTCCTCCAAGATAATCTCTTTGCTCTCTTCAGTTCCTTGTTATATTCGGTCAAAGAGGTCTTATATTCCCCCCAATCGCCGGATCTTTTTGCCCTATTCCAGTTTTTCCTTACCTGCCTTCTCCTTGCCTCTAGCTGGACGGTCCACCAGGGTGTTGCCCGTTTGTGGCTTCTGACAGTCTGGGGGCAGTTTTCCTCAAAAGAAGATCTGATCGCGTCAGTCAATTGCTCCGCGACCAGTTCCACCTCAGTCGCATTCCTTACCATTGATTTGATACTCGTCAGTTTGCTAGTTAGGTCTGCCCCAAAGGCTTCCCAATTTGCATTCCGAGGATCACGGTAGGTTTCTACGGTCCTTTGTATTCCCGAGATTTCAAACCTTATGTGTTTGTGGTCCGAGCAACTCTCCTCCTCTGACACACTCCAGTTTTTTATGAAATTGCTAACAAAAGTGGTGGCTAATGTTAGATCTATAACTTCCTGCCTTTGTGTGGTCACAAAAGTAGGCCTGTTACCTTTATTCATTACGTCTAAATTATTTGCCATAAAGAATTGCAGCAGAGCTTCGCCTCTAGGGTTTGTGTCTGTGCTTCCCCAGAAAGTGTGGTGCGCATTTGCGTCCGAGCCAATGATCAACTGAGATCCATTTCCTCTGCAGTACCTCACTAGCTCTTCCACAGTCTCTGGTGGTGGTGGATCAGGGTCATCGAAAGGAAGATAAGCCGATCCGATTATAATGTCCTTCGGCCCTTCTCCGTTCGTTTTTATGTGTACCGCTGTCAGATCCCTGTTGCAGAATTTTAGTAAGGGCAGTACTTTTAAGTGTGTTTTAATTAATATGCAGGTCCTAGGTCTGTCAGAGGTTCTACTGTATATAAGTTCCACCCCGACTCCCTTTAGGCCTTTTATTTGACCCTGATTTATCCAGGGTTCTTGTATCAAGGCAATGTCACAGGTCTCCATTACCTTACAGAGGACAGCCGAAGCTGCCCTACTGTGGTGCAGGTTCGCCTGGACGACCCTCATTTCGAGACTCAGGGCCCGTCAGTGCCCGGAAGAAGACCCGTCCGAGCTTATAGTAAGCCTTGAACTGGGTCTTATACACTAATGAACCGGTCGTAAAACGTTATTATACGTGGCGCCTAACTGGTTACCTACATCGCCAGGCGTTTTGGCGTGGTATTGGTTTGATTTTTAGGTTGACCGGTTGCCGGTTCGCCGGTTGCACTTAGCACTTTTTAGTATTATAAAAATCGAAATTAATTAACAATTTTTCGTAAATTGAAAAAAAGCCGGACCTAAAGAAAAGCTGGCCGGACATTAACAAATTGCCAAAAAAGGAGGACATGTCCGGCTTTAGCCGGACGTCTGGCAACCCTAGCTATAGTGTTATTTTAGTATTTTGGTATAAAGGGTGTAAAGGCCCGTTCTTAGAACTACTTTTTGTCGCTGGCGACCAATGACTAAAGAATATAAGGACATGTAACGCCCATATACGGGTTGCAGCAGAATTTGTGACCTTAGACGCCTTTTCTTTTGGTGTCAAACAATGAGTCATCACTTGGTCACCAGCGACAATTTTAGCAATTTTTAATAGTTCGTGTGTAGGGAACTTTGTATAAACTTTATTACAATGCTGATTAGTTGTTCAGCTTTCAAATGTAAAAGCAGCAATGACAAGAAAGAGCCAGGAGTTACATTTCACAGGTAAATAAACAGTCCGCCCCACCTTTTTAGCGTTTTCTTAAGTTTTGTTATTGAATTCGATAATTATTTTTCTGATATTATATGTACTTGATGTGTGCTATACGTCGCTACTAGTTTTGTACCTTTTGTTAACATTTTAATACGTTTTTTTCGTAATTAATTAGTATGATGCCATCGCTTACACCATAGGCGTAGTCAAAACATTTATCAAAAATATAAATATCCCTTCAACTAGCTAAGTTAAGAAAAAAATATGGCCACGGCACTGTTTGGTGTCATGGTAACAATTTGCTCTCGGGTGTTATTTGTCCTTGAATTCTTTAGTCATTGCTGGCGACAATGCTTGACACTTCAAACAGCCAATGATTGCTGAAGTAAATTTAAGATTGATAGTTGTACTGATTGAATCTTGTACAAATTTCATTGGTTGTTTTGATGTGTCGCTGACGACAGTATGAAGTTCTGAGAACGACGTCGTGTCGCTGGCTACACAGTTTGACATTTCAAACAACCAATGGGAGCTGTACTAAATTTAAAATTGACAGCTGTGAATTTTGTACAAATCTCATTGGTTCTTTTGACGTGTAGTTGGCGACAGTCGTTGTTCTGAGTCTACCGACGTCGTGTCGCTGGTGACACAGTTTGACATTTCAAACAACCAATGGGAGCTGTACAAAATTTAAAATTGACAGGTGTTTGAATTTTGTACAAATCTCATTGGTTCTTTTGATGTGTAGCTGGCGACAGTCGCTGTTCTGAGAACGGGGCATTGTTTTCAGAATTACGTACTCTGGCGACACTGGTTGGCACTAAAAGGACCAATGAGAGTTGTTTACATTTAAAATTGACAGCTGTTTGAATTTTGTACAGATTTCATTGGTTGTTTTGACGTGTCGCTGGCCTTTCTTTCAAAGTTGCTTATACAGCACTTAATACACTTTTTAAACTCTTAAGTAGCAGTATTTATAATATAGGAAATTCAAATAATTAGTTTTCTGACAGATGGAAAAAATTGTCTCATTGTTTGACACTTAATGTCAAAGGAAGCTAGATAAAATCAAGAAAATTAAATGTTTTAAATCTAAATCTAAAATAACTTAAAAACGATTTGTTTTAGGTAGTATAGGAACATGTCTAGTCAAAAAGTCACCAGTTGACAAACCTTTTCACTAATGAAATAAAAAAAGGGGGTTTCTATTTGAAAAAAATGATTTATGATTATTTTTTAATCACTCAAATCCATGACATTTACCGCCATTATTATATGATATTCCACATGTCTTCTTTTTATGGTACAGTGATTGTGGTAATCACTAAATTTGACGTTTGGGCTATACACATATTTTTGACAGGCAGTTTTTTTCGACCAAAAATTTTAAATATTTTTTTCCCTCAAAAATGGTTAATGTTTGATATAGAATGTTTAACATTAATATTCGTAGAATTTTACAGAGAATTTAATTATGTATGTAATTAAAAATGGGAGCACCCATTTAAAATAAGACAGTTGTTGTCAACTTCCGGTATTTCCGGAAGTGCCGCCATATTGAAAATATTTTTAATCGATAGATCACGTTGTAATACAATGTGCAAAAAATCTCCGGTCTAGATAATATATATTGTAATTCTCCAGACACTTCTAATGCACGCTCAGCGAACATCCTGTATGTTTCGTATTACTGTGTTTTTCAAAACCCAAAACTGATTATTAGACTGTTAAAATCTTATCAATTTGTCAAGATTATTTATCATTAAATTATTTGTATGTTATTATTATTTAGGTATTTAAGGTTATGCAAATATATACTAAGTTTTGCTTGTGTTTTTCTTTAGATACCTATGAAGTATTATTTGATGACGGGCTAGTAAAAACTGTAAAAACTCAAGAAATGTTAAAAATTGGCAAGACTAAACCAGCTCAAGCTTCACCTTTGTTTGAGCCTGTTAAAAGTACAAAACAGGAACGCCGTGACAAGAAAAGGAAACTCAATGTCGCCGCTCTTTTTGGTAAAAGAAGTCGCATACAGCATACTGAGGAGAAGACTAAGTCACTTGCAGCCACACTTATACCAAAGGCTGAAGAATTAACTGATTCTCCTTCAATGTCCCCCAATGCAAATTCAACTTTAACATCTTCTGATGAATTATACCGTTGGCGCCCTACGTATGTATTTTTGCAATATGTATCCATAACCTGTTGTACTAAATTATATGGTTTAATTTTATTTCGCATTTTTGATATTGATGGAAGTGACTCACCAGTGTTGCTACCCGTCCCGGTTTTGTCGGGACAGTCCCGATTTTGATTCAAGAAACCCGCGTCCCTACGCAAAGCCTTAATGATTTTTATTTGTATAATAGCCACGATTTTAATTCTTCTTACAGTGTCATACTCTATATAGAGCGTTGGCTACCTCTCGCATGTACTTGTGATGTGTGTCATCAGTGTTTCACAAGTACACGGGACCTACAGTTTATTGCCGAATCCGAACGGCACTATTTGAGAGGCTGTACAAGGCAAATATACTCAAGGTGGTTTGCCATTGCCTTCCTTGAGGTGGCGGCTCGTTGGTCGCTCTATTTAGATAAATAAATATTTTTATTTAAATAAACAAAGCGACCGTACTGGCTGGGGATCGAACCCAGTACCTTCCGCTCCGCAGATCGACACACTAACGCTGGAGCTACGGCCGGCCACACGAATTAAACAATAAAATTGTAAAATTTATTATTAAAAATACATGTTTATTAATTTCTTGAATTTCAAAACAGTTCTTTTACACGAAATAATTAAACTCTTAGAAATTTTAGAATTAAAAGAAGTAGATATTGATACCCTGTTTAATGAATATTCGATAATATAATCTTGCATAAAGGAAATTTGCCAAAAAGGATATAAAAACTATAGATAAAAAATAAAGTTTTAGAGTAAATTATATGCCTTCATTGTTTAAGGTTGTTATTTATACCGTATGATCGAATAAAAACGGCGTCCAGTTGGCTTGGAAATGACGATCGATGACATTTCCCATATAAATTTACATATAAAATGACAGCGATCTTCATTTCATAGCCATCGCTGACGCCGTTTTTATAGCTGCTAGAAATAGATGTTCAGATAAGCTCTTTAGAACGGAACTTCAAATATCATTTAATTTTACTATATCGTATATATGAATTTTTGGATCTTATTAAAGATGACAAGGCTCTTATTATTACAGCAACAAACCAAAAAATATTCATTACAGTTGGGGGGTTGGAACTATTGGTGTTACAACAGCAAAATAAAACACTAATTCACCGCAGTACACCAAAACACTTTGCTTTTAACACTGGACCTTCTTTTCGCTAAGCATAAATTTGAAGCTAATCATCAGTTCATCATCTGCTGATTGCCAAGCTGGTTAACGAAACGGGTCCAGTGTCAAAAGTAAAGTGTTTAATGGAAATTAGACCTTTTTATGCTGGTGTATACTAAGTACAGGGTGTCCCACTAAGAATAGCTCTCTGCTGTATCTCGGAAAGTATTAGCCGTAGGGCCTACGGGAAAAAAATATTTACAACTAATAGGGCTATGAGAAATTGCTGGAAATTATTTTCAAGTTTGTAAAACGGCCGCTAGGGGGCGCAACTGCTATGGAAAATAAGAAAATAGAATTTTTACAGAATTTTGCCTAGATAATGGGTACTATAAATAATAGCTTCATAATCTTCAGTAAATTTTGGATTTTTTTTTGTTAGAACCATTTTCCCCTATCTGCTGAAATAAAGTGATGGGGGAAGGTTAGATCTATCTTTATTTAATTGTTAATAACTCCGGACTGGATGATCAGAATCCAACAAACGAGGGCTCGTTTAAAAGAGCGTTTCTTACTGTATATTATACCATTAAAATAATAATAATAAGGTTTTGAACGTAGACGCTAGGGGGCGCTTTCTTACAATTTAACAAACATTACGCGTTTTTTCGAAAAAATTAAATAAGATAATATATGTAATTTTAGCTGATAATAAAGAGTAGTAAAAGTTTAACAATTCAGCGAAAACCGCATCTTGATATCATCTTTCAAACCGAAGATATTAGCAAAATTATAATAAATACCAAAAAATAAGCCCTTATTTACCTTATTTTTATAACACGGTACCAGTAGCCCTCTTGATTATGCCTATTCTATGAAAAAAATAAGATATAAACAGTTAGTTTATTTTGAAATCGACGAAATATCAGAATACCATAATACCAGATGTATTAATATCTAATAATTAAAGTATTAATAACAGTGAACAAGAAACGATGATTCAGTGAAGTCCATGGTAGGCTTTCGAAAAAAGTTGCTTTTGACGTAATAGTATAAACGTCAAATTGTTATTCGATCAACATTTTGAAAGTCTTTTATCTTTTGATTGCTTTTTCAAAATGCCCCAACAACTTCAACTACTTCAAATAATAAAGGCATTTTGAAAAAGCAATTAAAAGATAAAAAACGCTGCTAAGACTATCAAAATGTTGATCTAATAACAATTTGACGTTTATACTATTACGTCAAAAGCAACTTTTTTCCGAAGCCTACCATGACTTCACTGAATCATCGTTTTTTGTTCAATAACATTAATATCTTAATTATTAGATAATAATACATCTGGTATTATGGTATTCTGGTATTTCGTCGATTTTAAAATGAACTAACTATTTCTATATTATTTTTTGTTAGAATGGGCATAATCAAGAGGGCTACTGATACTGTCTTGGAAAAATAAGGTAATTAAGGGCATATTTTTTGGTATTTATTATAATTTTGCTAATATCTTCGGTTTGAAAGAAGATATCAAGATGCGGTTTTTGCTGACTTTTTAAGCTTTTACTAATCTTTACTATCAGCTAAAATTACATATACTATCGTATTTAATTTTTTTGAAAAATCGCGCTATGTTTGTTAAATTGTATGAAGCGCCCCCTAGCATCTACGTTCAAAACCTTATTATTATGATTTTTATGGTATAATATAGAGTAAGAAACGCTCTTTTAAACGAGCCCTCGTTTATTGGATTTCATCCAGTCCGGAGTTATTAACATTTAAATAAAGATAGATCTAACCTTCCCCCACCACTTTATTTTAGCAGATAGGGGAAAATGGTTCTAACAAAAAAAATTCAAAATTTACTGAAGATTATGAAGCTATTATTTATAGTACCCATTATCTAGACAAAATTCTGTAAAAATTCTATTTTCTTATTTTTCATAGCAGTTGCGCCTCCTAGCGGCCATTTTACAAACTTGAAAATAATTTCCAGCAATTTCTCATAACCTCTTTAGTTATAAATATTTTTTCCCTAAGCCCTACGCCTAATACTTTCCGAGATAACAGCCCAGAGCTATTCTGAGTGGGACACCCGGTATGTTATATTTTAAAGTGTTTTGGTGTATTGTGGAGAATTAGTGTTTTATTTTGCCAAAAATGTCCATTTAAAAATAATTAAATAAACTAATAAAGCCAATTTTACAGATTATACAGCTGAAACTCTTGATTTTGTTTAGGTTTTGTTCTAGTTGTTTTAGATTTAATTGTTTGTTTACTAATTGTTTATAACTTTTCATTTTTTATTTTTACATAATGATTTAGAAATTTTGAATAGTTTTTTAAGTTAACGCAAAAAGGCATAAAATATTGTTTCAAAATCCGATGGGCCCATAAAATTTTACATTTAAGAAAAAAGGTTGCACCAGTGCTGTCCCGATTTTTTAAAAACAAAATGTGGCAACCTTGTGACTCACACTGTTGTTTTTTCGAATAAACACCAATAACACCTAAATAAAGTAGACCCGGCATTTCATTCATAAAAAGGAAAAAATCAGAATCAGACATTCGTTTCTTGTTTTATGCGAGCGGGAAAAGGACGGGCTAATCGCTACATGAAGGATTCCTGAGAGAATGGCAACGCTGTTCAGAGATCTTGAGAATGTGAGTCAGTGGCGTAGTTACTTTTATTTTAATATATAATTTCTTATTATATCCGCATAAATATATGATTTTTGGATACAATATATTGTTGTGCTCGATGGTCCATAACCTTACTCATATTCGAAAACAAACTTCTACGTTTAAATCGTCTCTATTTTTGCAAATTAAGCAAGTTTGCACCATCGTCTTACTGTTTCTCAATAAAATCACTAAAAACAATACCACGACATATTGGCAACGCCGCACACTGGGGCAGAATTGGCAATTTATATACAATAAGTATTAAAAACTAAATCTTCCTAATTCAGGTGAAATTAATGTATTGTTGTAGGCTATATGCCGCTGAATATTATATAATAATATAGGCGCTGAATCGACAATGGTTGCTTAGAAATAGTCTTTGTTTTTGCGTATCAATTAAAATTGTTTCGATTTTCTTGAGCCGGCCTTTCAATTTACTCCTATTTTATATTTGATTTTCTAATAATACGTTTATATTTATTTTAATAGCGACATTGTTATTCGCTCGCATCGGGTAAGTAAATTAATATTCCTCTGGTTTTGATCTATATTACGCGATTATTCGAAGACACAAGAAAGTTGAAATAATGTAAGTCAAAAATTTGCATCCACTTAATTAAATTTGAAAATCGCAAAGTAGTTTAGTTATGAATCTTCGTACATCCGCCTGATTTTGACATATATTATTTTTCCTCCATTCAAACAATTTAATATTATAACGAAAATTTTTGCCCGTTCTTGCCCCATTGAAAATTATTTTAAGTTTAATGAACCTATGAATAGTCGAAAAATTGATCATAAATTATCGCTAAATTTATTCTCGCTACGTTTTCTTCGGCATGTATTGACATTTCTCTGCTATTTTCTTCTGGATATATGGTATAAAAATAGAAAATGGATGAAATACTATATTACGTAATGAGTACTGTAAAAAATATATTACGGGCGAATAGAAAAGTTGTACACAAGGCGTGTGGTGATGGGTGTAGTATTGTACGAGTACTCGTTTACTTTATTTCACATAAGTCCTTCTGTTAAGCTTGTTTCATATAGACGCGAATTGCGAAAAGCGATTCACCAAAAAATATTCGCAAAATTTGGACGTATTTCATACAGTCGCGAATTTTTAGGGACATTTTATTTTTGCTCAACTGAAAGTTACCAAAAGAAATCATAACCTGAGATAACTTAATTTGTTTTATACATATTTATTCGTGTTCGATACGATTTTATATTTTATAGCATACAATACGATCTTTATTTTATATTTTATAGCATACAATATGAGTTTAAATTTGTTTAATAATTATGAATATCGATTACGATTGTGGGATTGGAATAGAATAAGGTGCAAAATTGCCATTTACTTATTGTTAAAACGTAGAAGAGAACGGGTTTATAGCACGGGTTTATAGGTCATTTATGGGCCATTTGGGACATGTGAAATATTCAAATTTCGTAAGCAACAAGGTGCTTGTCACAATTTAATTCAAGAAATAAGGAAAAAAAATGAGAAAAAATTTAGGAATTTTCACAGATTGTCTGTATAGGAGTTTGATTACTTGGTTGAAGTTGAAAAAATGTCACCACATATATTAAAAACATATTATGTACGAGAACCCATTTCAGCTAGAGAAATGCTTTCAGTTACTTTGCGGCAGCGTCGTCAAAATAATCGATAACCGGATCACAACACCATTCTGCGCAAACGCGTACCTTAAAATCGCGTGAATATTCGCAAAAAGTTGAAAACACTTTAACTTTCCCGCCCTCCAAATTTTAAATCTTGCGAATCGCCAAAATCCTAAAATTTCTGACAGCGCCGCCATGATCAGTAAAATTGGACCAATGAGAGCAGTTTCGCAAAATCGCAATTCGCGTCTATATGAAACAAGCTTTAGGCAGACATTGGCGCAATAGCGCAACTCCAAAATTCCGAATATCGATTAGCCGGATTAGCCAATTGTTGAACGGGAGCGCAAACGAAAACCGTACGAAGCCGTACGAATGAACCGCTGATGTTAGTGTCTAGTCTCTTGGTCTAGTTATCCGATCGAAAATCCACGCTTGCGCACTACGCTTGAGCACGCCTAACTGCAACTTATGCCAAATTACTTCAGGGTGCATCCACAATCCTAAAAACAGCGTATCGGCGTAACGGCATACTATTGGCTGAAATTTTTGACAGATGAATTTGATAGATGAATTTGACAGATAAAATTTCTGACAGATGAGTTTTTTAGCCAATAGAATTACTTGAAATCTATTCAAGGTCGTTACGCCGTTCCTAGGATAGTGTGGATGCACCCTCAGAAGATTTATATACCCATTTCTCCGGCTCGGCTTCACAGAGTGCAGTTTGGAGTCGATATTCTTTAGTTAATAAATATATGGTTTAAATGTATGTCAAACGTTGACTATTTACATATCTAATAGAGGGCGCCGATTCAAAAAAATCGAAAATAAGGTGCAAAAACATTTGATTTATTCAGTATATGTATTATTATGGTATTATTGGACTCATCGATGGCAGAAGATTATGCGTCTTGTTGTAATGTCGATTTTAAAATATTTAAAGCACGAGTTAATACGCCGCCGCGCCGGCGCCGCGCGCCGCTCCGATGGAACTTTTTAATGTATTTATGTAGAATTGTTTGATGTGTAAAAAATTGTAGTATTGTTTGATGTGTATAATAATAAAATTGTTTTTTATATAGAGTTTCAAATAATGAAACCATATAAAGTTTTTTTTTCTCTTTTTACAGCAGGGGTGTTACGAACCCTCGAATAGAAATCGCTACGAGTTGCGAAAAAAAGTGTAATCGAAGGAAATCCGTACCGAAATGCTCGATAGCAGGGATTGTATTTAGCTCCCTTTGAATCATATTACATCTATTTCTTTCAATACCTTTTTACATCTTGTGTTTTTCATTTTGATACGGTTCATCTTTAACTTCGTATTGTGTATTCGTAATCCGCCTGCAGTTTACTGAACTGTAAAAAAGGTTTTTAAAATAGTAGACGTTACACTATACTTAATAGTAATTTACAATGATTAAAAAATCTACAGCGAATAAAATTATACATTACAATATTATAGAATATGGATAACGTAGGAGGTGGCGGCAACATTGCATTCTGTCAAAACACTATAAACAAATTTTCGGAAACTGAACAAGCGGCACTCAATATCAATATTTTCTGGAAAATGTCAAGAAACATATAAAATTTTCACCATTATCGTAAAAATAACTCACGGGTGTGTTTTTAGGGTCGAACTATACTACCAGTTTAAATACTTGCAAAAGGCGGATCGACTTAAATAGTAATTAGTAATAGCGTGTCGGACTATTAAAAGCGCGTCGTTGCATTATTTTTTTGGGTGTGCTTAAATGTACCATATGATAGGAAAAAAATGGTGTCTAGTTTATCACCCCAAGGCGTTACATACAAAATGACAACGACTTTTATTTCCAAGCTTTTTTTGCTCCAAGCAAGTTTGTTTTAAAACATATATTTGATTTTAGTTTTGAAAATGGAAAACCCGTTGGAATTGAATCATCGTTAGAATGTAATGATAACGTTCGAAAATCATATATTGTACCAGACCCAAGGGTACCTGAAGGTTGGCAGAAACATTTGGCACAACGAACCTATGGAAACTCTGCTGGAAAATGGGATACTTTCTTTGTTGGGTAAATATATGTACAGACTGTCCCGTTTTGGTTGGAAAAGAGGATTATCTCGCTTATTAGAATAGACAAAACTTGGCGGATTTTGCGAATCTGAGCTACCTTTTTGTGGAACAAAAAATTCCAGAAAGAAAAATTGTTATACTGTCATGGCCGCTTTATTAAGACACACGGTTGATTTTGAAAATGCAATTGCAAACACTTGTCGTATCTCAGTTATCTCACAAAAATAATTATTCTTATATGACTTTTTACGCGGATTTCAGTGGCATTAATATATTTTTAAATTGAATACCCTATTGTAACGTACTGCTTTAACATTTGACTTTCACAAAAAAAAGGAAATATTGATGAAATGAGAATAACTGATTTTTGAAGTGAAACTTCTTTACGCGCGATGGGAGTAAAAATTGAAGGCCGCGAGTCGGCCTTGATTGACGGCTGCGGGACGGGATGACCTTGTCATATGACGTGAAGGTCATATGCGAAGCATCAAATATCAAATCAAAGAAGTAATCGTTGGCAGGAGATATGTCTTATTTTGATTATTTTATAGTGGTATGGCACAGGTTAATGGTGTAGAATTGTTTTTTAGTTCGTTTAATTTAACAATTACCAAAACCAGCAGTTCCAAAAATATATTTAAAAATAAAAGATAAAAATCCAAAATATTTATTATCTATTTACATTGATTTTAACGATAATAGGGAAGAACACTAAATTGATTCGAATAACGCTAACATTTGCCTATAAAGTAGTGTCGCTGTCTTAATTTCTATGCAAATGTGACATCTCGTTTTTCCTATGTAGTCTTTAAATAGTCTAAAAATCAGGAGGAATGATCCATTATGCAGTAAAGACACTATTGTTGAATCATTGGTTGGTCTTTTGTAGGCATTTCACAAATAAAATCGTCTCACCAAAAACTGAAAATGCAAAACAGGTACCTAGTAGCTTTATAAATATATATACAAATAATCAGACAGTAGTATCGACTGACTAGTCAGAAAGAAAATCTAGGAACTAGTGGGGTTGCAGTCGGAAGGGTTCCCTTCCTATGGTAATTATTGGGAAAACTGGAAATCATTCGATTTTCACCAAAATTGGTATACACCCTATTTTGAGGTCGTAGATTACGACTCTTACTTACTTCTTGGTGTTCTCTTACGAATCTTACTTTTTTCTTGGTGTTCTCTTACCGTTTTTCAGAAAAATGGAAAATAATTTCAACATTGAATTTTTCTTTATTTCGGCCCTTATAAAGTAAAAATTTCATTATATTTTCATTATATTATAGTTTATCTAAAAGCCACACTTGATTGAGGATAGAAAAATGTCCAAAATTTTACTGAAAAACACTTTTCTTCTTAACAAAATAACAATGAAAATTGAGACCAGATATTTCTTTGTCTATGGACCAGATGGAAATATGACATTTCATATATCCTTCTTTCTCTCTCCTATGTAATGAGAAAGAGAAATATATTCTAGACCTAATCTAGAAATTTGAAAATTTACACCGTTGCCATATCTTCTATTTTTAGGGGTGATTAGGGATTTTAAATAAATTACCTATTATGAGATCGACAATAATTAAATATACCTACTTATATCCACAAAGTTACGCGGAAGAGTTTTGATTGCATTGGTTTCAACATCTATGCGGAAGGGATTAATCTTTCTTTTTGTTATAACCACGAAGTTACACGAAAGAGTTTTGATTGCATTGGTTACAACTTCCATGCGGAGGGTGTGAATCTTTTGTTATATTATATCAAAAAAAGATTAGCCCCCTCCGGAAAGAAGTTGTATAAAGACTATTTATAACCACGAAGTTGCACGAAAGAGTTTTGATTGCATTGGTTTTAACTTCTTTCAATGCAATCAAAACTCTTTCGTGCAACTTCGTGGTTATAAATAGTCAGGTCTCGCTGGTAAAATAGCAATTATGGGAAGGAGCCGTTCTTCTGGCGACCGCCTTTCGTAATCCCAGAATGAGCGAAAACAACACGCTAAATTTAGGTTTAGCATTGGCAACGTTGCTTTAAATGCCAGAAGCACATAACCCAACAGTTTCAGATTGTTTACACATTTATTTTAGCAAATTTTCCTCTATTATGCATAGAATTGGTTAAAAAAGCAACAGAAAATAGCAATAACATCATTGTTTATTGAATACCTAACAAAATATGTGCTAGAAAACCTTAAAAATATGAGAAATTAAGAAAAATTCGATGTTGAAACAATTTTCCGTTTTTCTGAAAAATGGTAAGAGACCGCCAAGAAAAAATTCAGATTCGAAATCTACGACCTCAAAATAGGGTGTATACGAGGGGTGTCTCACTTGGGTAAAAAATGTACACGTACTGCCAAAATATCCTTCCACTGCTAAGCGACTGCCAATGACTATGAAGAAGACTGCCTATGACTGCCATGTAATTATTATAGGCGACTGCCATAAGACTGCCAATGACTGCAAGCGACTACCAAGAAAATTTACATGTAATTCTAATAGTGAGACACCCCTCGGGTGTATACCAATTTTGGTGAAAATCTGACGATTTCCAGTTTTCCCAATAATTACCGTCCCTAGATTTTGTTATACAAATAACCATACTTACATCTATTTAATATTTATATCCTACAATCCAACCATATTTTAACCAATATTTTAATATCCTAGCCCAAGTAAATAATCAAAAATTCACTTTTTATATCAAGAATAGTAATGGGTATACCCAGTTTCCAAGGATTTCAATAAATCTTTAGTATCCAGGATTAAAAAAAAAACACGATTCTTTGTTTGAGGTTAGGTCATTCATTACCAACTTTGAATAAGAAGACTAAGGAAGGAGCATAATGCTATCCATGTATTCATGCATGGTGGGCGGAAAAAGCACCATAAAAGCACTCTAGGGTGGGGATCCTTGACAGTTCTGTTTAACGATTCATTTGACACATTTGAATTTGATTTGAAATTTTGTGGATTTGTCAGTCTTTACGGAGCTTATTTTATGTTATTTATTATTTATTCTACTACTGATAGTTGTATAAAGGTAGTAAATCGATTTAGATGGAAATTGTGGCAGCACTTAAATTAACAGTGACACTATCGCGATTTATCGAAAAAGACTCTAAAATAGTTGGTTGTGTAGCGTGCGGTAGATCTCGGCAAAAATCGAGTGAAATAATGGAACAACTTTTCGCTAGTAAGTGACTATATAATATACATACGTGTAGTATACCGATCATTTATGAAATTCACTTAAATTAACTAATTATATATTTTTTCTTGCATTTTTGTTTTTATTTACTACTTGTCAAAGATTAGATGTCAAAGAATTTAGATACGTCAATTTGATTTACCTGCTTCAGTAGCGTATCGGATGTTTGTGGTTTTAAATAATTATTATAACTTATCTATTTTTATTAGAATTTTATATTTTTATAACAATTTTAATAACTACCAACATTTATTCACAACGTAAAATAAAAAAAAGATTATTGAGTCTACCCCACGTCTACCCTACATCATAATTTTACATTTTTTAAATAAAATTAGAACGGTACTGATAAACCGGAATTTAAGTCGGCCATATTTGAGGCCCATCGCGGTGGCCCTAAGATTTTTGATATGCTCCTTCTTTAGTATTCTTATTCAAAGATTACCAACTATTACCAACATGACGTTAACCACGGGCTATTCTGTCACCGAACTAGTAAGGGGCTTTCTTTTAATATATCGATATATATTATATACTATATTTTTCTAACAGAGAAAAATGCAATTACGCGTGGGCTACTCTCGTTTTTCCCTTGTAAGGCAAAATAACTAAGCTGTAATAATCTGGAACTAAGCGTATATTGCTTTCTTTGATAGTGCCTCGAATAACGCTAACATTTGCCTATAAAGTTGTGTCGCTATCTTAATTTCTATGAAATTTTTAACAAAAATTAAAAAAAAATAAAATTATAAAGCTAGAATAGTATACGGCTTTATATTAACTCTAATTTTTTTAAAAGTTTATAAAAAGCATTAATAAGAAATATATATCCTTCAAAACCTTCAATTTAATAGCTGTTAATAAGAAGTTTCACTTCAAATATACACAGTGTGCACATAGTGCACACACTGTTTTTTTATTTTGTTGTAAAGTGGTCTTTCTAGTGTTTACTACATTTTTTGTCTCTCGTAAAAAATGCCACATTGCATATATTTAATTTTTTTCCAAAGCAGACCTACAAAATATACAGGGCGTCAAAATATTTCGTGGACCTAAAACAACTACGTATTTTTTGAATCAAAATAAGTTAATTGCACACAATATATCTCTATACAAAAGTACGTAGTAGTTCTATGTTCATGGAATATTGGGACAACTTGTATATTAAAATACATGAAATACCTTTTATTATTACTAAAATTTTATTGCTTTTTAGTAAATTAAAATGTGAGAGAACTGTCGTACATTCTTTCGTTAGACGGACTATACTAATTAATTGTTAATATATGTAAGATATAACTTAATTTTATTTTACTATTTTTTAGCCCCGATGGCAAAAAATTGAGAACTAAGACTGAAATAAAAACTTATTTGGAACAAAATCCTTCATTGGAAGTTAATATGGAAATGTTTGATTTTACCATTTATCGAAACAGTTACAAAAGACTAAAAAAGCCTAATAAACCAAAATTAAATATATTACCTGAAACTCAAGTTGATTCTGTAGAAGAGGAAGTAAAGGAAGAACCAAATACTGAAGAAGAAGAAAGTAACATGAATATTCCTTAATTTTGAAGCGTTTCACCATAAATTATTGTTTTTAGATACAGATCCTCCAATTACTCTTAAAATAATTTTCAATAATGATAGTTATGAGTGTCCTATTGAGGGTTGTGGGAAGAATTTCAGAAGAGAAAACTTGGCTTTAATGCATGTCAAACACTACCATTCGGAATATACGAAATATTTAGATTCAACACCAAATGTGGCTGATTTGGCTTATGCTCGTACAGTTGGAGAGAATCTTGATAAATCACCGGGTTCAGGTAAACCAAGCACACCAAAGCAACCTATAGAAAAATTACCAGGTAAGTTTATCTTCTATTATTTTAAATCATGTGTATTTATCCTTACTAATATTATAAACGCGAAAGGTTGTTTAGTTTGTATGTATGGATGTTTTTCTATGTACGGATTGTTAGTCTTTCACGCAAAAACTTCTGGAATGGATTTTAATGAAACTTGAGATTAATATAGCTTATACATCAGAATAAAGCTTGATTTTCATGCATCCGTTATACGTTGATACGATGGTGAGACGATGCTCTGATTAGTCATAGCGTTTTCGCGCCACTTTTCATCCGTAAATATTTTACTTCAGCCCGCCAACGGACCCGTTCATACGATAACGGACGTTTTGACACTTTTTTGACAAATTTAATCTAACCTTAATAAAAATATAAGTAAAATACTTTGAATAAGAAGACTAAGGAAGGAGCATATCCAAAATCTTAGGTCCACCGCGATGGGACTCAAATATGGCCGACTTAAATTCCGGTTTATCAGTGCCGTTCTAATTTTATTTAAAAAATGTAAAACTATGATGTAGGGTACACGTGGGGTAGACTCAATAATTTTTTTTTATTTTACGTTGTGAATAAATGTTGGTAGTTATTAAAATTGTTATAAAACATATAATAAAAATAGATAGGTTTTAATAATTATTTATTAACACAAACATCCGATACGCTACTGAAGCAGGTAAGTCAAATGTGCTCTTTCACTATATTTTGGAATTAGCATAATTGAATAAAGCAATTAATTCTAGAATTTTCTGCTATCTCACTTTCGAAAAATTTGAAGTCGTTCTACTTTCTTAGGAAATAAATAAAAACAAAAAAGCTCAGAATAAAAATCCGCACTTTATTTTTAATACGTCACACCTGGCATGTTGAAAAGCGGCAACACGGCCGCGGCCGGGCTACAATGCTGACCCACTACCACCTCCACACAAGGCCTTTATTTGGCGCGTATTTTAAAACCTGTTTTATTTCCAAATATACATTTTTCACACAAATGTCGGGTTAGCTTACGTAATATTTCACTAATTTTTTAATATACAGGGAGTCTAAAGTTCTCCACATAAGTATGGAACTTCTGAACAAGATAGATTTAATAATAAATTCTGACGTATGTGAGGGGCAATTGTGACCTAAAAAAAGACTTACATCCAGGCCATTTATATTTGCAAATGTCAATGTTGTCAATATCTTTCTGTGATCTTTTTGAAGTAAAAAGCCTGATTCTTCTTCCAATATTTTACTTATAGTGAGGTAAGCGTAAGCAGTAGCCATAACTACATCCTCACTAGGGTAACAGAGGCCTTTGTGTGTGTGGCCTTTTTGAGGCATATTTAATGCACTTCTTACCCGAGAACTACTAGTAGGGGTGAAATTATCTCTTTTAATAGCTGTCAACCATTTTTTACGAAGCTCGTCATTTTTGGGGAATATAAAAGCAGAAACCTTGGGACCCCCTCTATAATTCTCGTGACAATTTGGAACAGAGCATGTAAAAGGCGTGCTACAATAAAATGTTAATACCTAACCTTTAATTATATATACCTATCTTTTGATTATTGTAAGTAACCATTATAAAGTACTATTCAGACTGGCGGTGAAGGCTTTTTACTCATTTAGGTGTAATATCTTGATAAATACTTCTAGTTCTCATTTTAAAATAATTAATAATAGAGGAGTACGACAAGCACAAAAGTTTGAAGTTCCCTATGTGGAATTTTGTTTGGTTTGGATTTTTATTACACTGTTATTTTATCACAATTTTCTGATCACACCATGCACTGAACACTCAGAACTAAACAAACGTGTTGCAGAAGCACAACCAACTAGAGATAATTAATTATTTCTGGTATGCAATCGGAACGAGAAACCACTATCGGCTTTTCAGGTTAAAGGTAAACAATTTAATAATGCACTGCCTTCGCCGCCATATTTGCCATTCCCATATCAAGTTGATTGGCCTTGAGTTGAGGTGGTGCTGGTCAAATCAAATCGCAATGTTGCCAGTTGTTGGCTGGCGCACGAGCACGGTTCTGCAATGCGATTGGGCGTATTTTTCATACGTCACCAATTGGCACTTTAAAATTATTTCAAATTAAAGCAATTTTGAGTGCCTATAAAAATTTTTTTTTTGGATAAATATACTTAAAATAGTCTTCTATTTCAGGTTTTGTCCTTGAATTGGGTATTTTATTTTTTGTGAAAGAGCCTATTGACGTATCTAAATTCTTTTACATCTATTCTTTGACAAGTAGTAAATAAAAGCAAAAATGCAAGAAAAAATATATAATTAGTTAATTTAAGTGAATTTCTTAAATGATCGGTTTACTACATGTATGTATATTATATAGTCACTTACTAGCGAAAAGTTGTTCCATTATTTCACTCGATTTTTGCGGAGATCTACCGCACGCTACACAACCAACTATTTTAGAGTCTTTTTCGATAAATCGCGATAGTGTCACTGTTAATTTAAGTTCTGCCACAATTTCCATCTAAATTTACTATTTTTATACAACTATCAGTAGTAGAATAAATAATAAATAAGTACATAATATAAATACATAAAATAAGCTCCGTAAAGACTGACAAATCCACAAAATTTTAAATCAAATTCAAATGTGTCAAATGAATCGTCAAACAGAACTGTCAAGGATCCCCACCCTAGAGTCCTTTTTCCCCCCACCATACACGAATACATGGATAGCATTATGCGCCTTCCTTAGTCTTCTTATTCAAAGGTAAAATAGCAAAATTGTTATGGAAACGAAAATATAATATAACACCAACGTATATCCGATAAACGGAGGCATGCAAATGCAATAAATTTAAAAACTGCGTTATTTTCTAACTAATCAAAGTCTTTAAATTCTACCAATAAAATTAATATCGTATCAACGTATTGTCGGACAACGGATGCTTGAAAATCAAGCTTAAGACATAAACTATAATTTATAAAGATATTATAAAAAATAAAATGATAAATACCAGGAGAGCAATAATATAACAAACCACTATCTTTATTCATAGACTATCAATTAAAGCTAGACACATGTAATAGGTACTTTCAAATATTACCCCTAGATGCTATAATAAATTATTAGAGCAGTGATGTGAAAACCGCATCTAAAACTGTCTCTATTCCATGCTATTCAGAATCTTATTTTCTATTGAATAAAGTAAAAAAAAATCCCAGAGTATCATTTAAAAGTCAAAAGTTGCAGTAATTTCCGGTGAAACAGGAAGTGACCGAAAATAATTGAATACGTCAGTCAATCCTGATTTATGTCATATACTAACATACCAACTCTCGTATTTTTGTTTAAAAAAAAATAAAAAGATATAGAGGTGAGCCACTTTTGAGAAACACGCGGTATAATAGATCGATAATAGATCTGATATGACTATCAGAAGTAATAGATTTATAAAACAAGTAACATATTTGATTTAAAACTTATTTAACTAAACATGGCTTGTAAGCGGGTTGATATTTGTATTCAAGTTCTTATCAATAAGTAACTTACACCATACTTACGTTAAAATTACTCATATTTAAAATATAGTCTATAAAATGAGTAACTTTGAATTTTGACCGTTATTTTTTACCAACATGGCAAATATAAAATCCCTCTGTCAAAAAAGTTACTGATATTCTTTAAATTGAGTGCCTGAACGAGTCAGATAGGTAACTCTTTTTTACTTTTGTGAAATAGAAAAGGAAAATAATAAAACAAGTGACAGTTCTTCCTCTTCTTCCAAAAATCAACACGAAATGTCATAATTGTCAAAAGTAAAATGTCATCAGCTTTTGACATTTCTAAATATCAGACCAATGCCGTCTCTAATAGAATAGCCTCGGAGCGAGATTTATGACGTCACCCTAGTTAGATACTACGGATTAATAAATATGTTGTAGAATACATCGAAAACATAATAATTATTCTTCGTATTTTTGGCTTGTATTTTAAAAATGATATAGTTTACATGAAATATACATAATATAGAGTTAATAAATACAATATATATACCTATTTATAGTAATAAATACTTTGTCAAATAAACTATGAACCATACAAATGCAGCAAATATACAGTACAGTACATAAGATAATGGGTAAAATATAAAATATATTTTAAATTTTGGGGTTTGAAAATCGATCTAATTTAACAAAAAAACATTCAATATCTACTAATAGTGATGTATTATTATTTCATTCATAAAATTTATATGTATATTTTGCAAGTATCAATGTTCGAAAAATTATATTTGCAGATAATACAATATCATAGAAAAAAAGGCGTCAGCGATGGCTATGAAATAAAGATCGCTGTCATTTTATATGTAAAATTATTCTAAAATTTTTGATTTTCTTGGAATTTAGGTTCGGGAAAAACGCTGATTAAGTTTTCATTTGGGTTTTCATTTTTTTTTTGATTAAAAAACGTTTCGGTTAACATTATAGCCTTCATCAGTGTTAGGTTAGGTTAATAAACTAATATTTATAAACTTGTCAAAAGATGACCACATATTTTTTAAAATTATTATTCTTAACACAAAAACTATCTACATTGACTACGGAGTACGATTTTAGCCATAGTCAAATATAAGGAATATTATGTAGCGTGACGTCATAAATCTCGCTCCGAGGCTGTTCTATTAGAGACGGCATTGCGTCAGCATGGCCGCAAGTTGCTAACCTAATAAAATTAACACTAGAAAAGCCCGCGAGAACTGTCAAATTCAAAGTTATTCGTTTCACAGATTATACCCTTTGATTGTTACTTATGCTAAATGAATTACTTTAATTTTTGGTAATATGATTAGTTTTCATAATCTGTAAAATTTTAACATAGATAGTTTTAAGTTGTGAATTAATATTCCTTTTAGTTAAGTTACCAAAAACGCCAGTGACGGAAACGAAAGGTATATGTGGTACTTCTCCTAGTACTGAAGCGAGGTATAAAGATTCTGAAATTATCAAGCTGTTGAATCAAAAGTCTACTGAAGTCGAAAAAGATATTCAGCCTTTATCTTCAGGTAATTATTTTATTTATTTATTTGTATATTATATGTCAGACTGAAATTTTATTAATTTCTGTTAGTTTAATAATTGTTCTTCACAAACTGAGATATTTAAACTGATTTATTTTCTTAATTTTTTTATTTTTGTTTATTTTTAAATTTTATTAAAAAAAGAAAGTTGATATAGTTATTAGTAGATCTGGCAACACCGCATGGCCATAAATATCGGCCAGCGATATGTTTGGGTCGAGATTTCCGTATGTAAGAAGAGTACAATGCATTTATAATGTACTGAACAGAGAGAGAGAGAGAACAGTGAAACCGTTGCCAAACGTATGAAATAAACTGAGTAACTGTGCACATTTCTAAGAGGCGTGGAAAGGGATAAGGTAGCGTCTTAGCCTTCGTTGCCTTGAAACTGAAAATTGAAATCAAGTTAAAATCCAATACTTAAGATTTCTAGGAAAGGGTGTACATCATGCGTTCAGTTTCACAATTTAATTACGTCTCATTATACTTTATTTGTTTAAAAATATATAGGTATAGACATTTTTTATTTGTTTATTTATTAAGGAATCGTTGTTGTATTTTCCTTATAGCTTGCAATTAAATGTTTAAATACAAGTTGGAAATTAAACAACGACTGTAATATGCTCAAAATTTTACCAATTTTGGTAAAAATAAGATGAACCGATTTGGTGCTAGACAGTGGTCGCGCTATTAGAACTCTCAATTCAAAAATCAATATCTCGAAATCTTTCTTAACGTTTCTGCTATATTTTCTTCAGAGACAGTATGTGAAAATCTTTACAAATTAAAAAGTTAACATGATTTCTGACAATTGCTATGTACTAAAAGTAAGTGGACGCGTTTTTTAAACTTCTTAAATGGAAAAGAATGTAGAATGTAGAATGTTTAGGAGGGCAGTTAATCACCGTGACCTTATAGATCTATTGTGTGTTCCCCTTTCTTGAGTTATAACGAGTTATAACTCATCATACAGTCTCAGGGCTTTAAGAAAAGCCAGTATCTGAGACGGTTTCACAGAGGCTAGCTCTCCATCCTCGACATCAGACGTACCAAGGTTCATGGCACGAATGGTCGTCGTCTCGGCGCACTCAGTGATAAGGTGTTCTGGTGTTTCCCCATTTTCCCTACAAAATCTGCATTCGCTGTTGTTTCTCAGTTTCAGCCTACTGAGGTGTTCGTAGAGGAGACAGTGTCCTGTTAGAAACCCCGTGACAATCCGAAGATTGTTTTTACTTAAATCAATGAAAACCTTTGATTTTTCTCGGTCATAAGTTCTAAGGAACTTTTTCGAGTGTCTTAGACCGTTGGAGGACACCCATTCCAAGTTACGGATGGAGTCTTCCAGATTCTTCAGTTCCGCTTTCAGTTGGTTCCCGTTTGGAAAACAGAACGGTTCTGGTCCAGTTAGTGGAGTGTTCGCTCCTTTCCTAGCTAGATCATTTGTTTTTCATTGCCTTCTATCCCTTTGGTGAGCAGGCACCCAGAGTAGGAGGACTTTATTTTCTTTGCCTAATTTGTTGAGCTTCTCTAGGCATTCTTTGACCAACTTCGAATTGATGGTTACTGAGTTGATCGCGTTAAGTGCTGCTTGACTATCGGATAGGATAGCAATTTCCTGTTTTCGATAGTTCCTATCTAAGATAAATTTTATGCATCTTTCGATAGCGCAAATTTCTGCCTGAAGGATACTGGGGTAGGTGCCCATTGGTTCGGAGTATTCAGTTTTCGGCCCAAATACTCCTATCCCTGTCCCTGCTTTGGTTTTGGAAGCATCAGTATACCACGTGATGGTATGGTCTTTTATATGCTGAGTAAGCGTTTCTTTCTTCCAATCCTTTTTATTACTCAATACTACAGTGAGGTGTTTCTCAAAGTTGTAAATTCTTGGTATGTCATCCACTGGGAGTTGGAGAAGTGGAATTTTCTTTTTGAGGGTGTTCCAAGCCCCTGACCTGAAAATTCTCTCAGTACTGTTTCCGTCAGTAACCATTCTAATCATTGTCGCATTGGCATAACTACCGACGACAATGTGCAGTGGTGTTAGGTCTAGAATGACCTCCATTGCTGGGATTCTTTTCAAATTTTTCAAACTTCGCTTTCTGGTGAATGGCACTACTGCGGTTTTATCTGAGTTAATATTCAGCCCGACAGTCCTGCACCATCTCTCAGCGATGCGGAGTCCTCTTTGGATAATATCACACAGGGCCCCTATCAATTGCCCCCCCCCGTGCAAAGATGACTATGTCATCTGCGTACCCTCTGCAGTGTATTCCCGCTAGAGTTAATTCTTCCAGTAGTTCATCCATTACCAAGCTCCACAGTAGGGGGGAGGTCACTCCACCTTGTGGAGTTCCTTGCGTTGTTTTAACAACTACAGTTTTGGTACCTATCTCAGCCTCTGCTGTTCGTGTTGAGAGCATTTCCCAAAACCAGCGAATTATCGTACTGTTCACCCCTCTTGTTTCAAGAGATCGCTTGACCACCTTGTGAGGGATATTGTCAAACGCCCCTGCAATGTCCAAGAAGGCACAAAGTGCTGTTTCTTTGCTATACAGGCTTGCCTGTATTAGCTCAGTTAACTGGTACAGAGCAGTTTCTGTGGATCTGCCCGCTCAATATGCATGCTGACTATCGTGCAGTTGTTTAACCTGTAGATGATTTACTCTAATATGGTTGTCCACTACTTTCTCCATCGTTTTTAATATGAACGATGTGAGACTAATAGGCCTAAATGATTTGGGGTTAGCCCAGTAATGGAAAAGAAACAAACCTGTCGAATTTTTCTCATTTAAACATCTTGTCAAAGATCCGAACTTTAAAATAAAAAAAGTTTCAATATCTATAGTAGTTTTTGAGTTATCGCATATTATGTGTTAAAAAGTTGAGTTCAAATTACCGCGGTTACTGACGTTTATTCATTTTTAAAAACTGGTCACCTTAACGATATTCTTATAACTCGATTTCAGATGCCCAGAAACATATCTAATGATTTTATGTTGTTATCTTTCCGAAAAAAATAGACTTAAGAATAAGCGCCTATTGACAGTATTCTATGTGGCAACGCCATAACAACACACTGTCGCATTTCTCTCACTCCGACTTAATAAGATCCCTAAGCGATTCACTTCCACATATGTAAATACCGACCCAAAAGTCAGAGTTGCCAGCGTGGTATAGATAGGTGAAATTCATTTATATTATGAACCAAAATTTCAGATTGTTACCATAATAATTCTCTATACGTGTAATTGGACACTTACTACTGTCAATAAACCTAGGTAAACTTAAAACCTAGGTATCAATGAATATACCAAGAAAAAGAAAGTGCCTTACTAAAAAATGGTTCCATGTTACTGGCGCCATCTATTGCGAGGGTCTGAATTTAAATATGCTCATTTATATAATTTCACTTGAAACTATCATTTTAAATATGAAAACCATCTTAAAAGTAGAATGTAGAATGTTTAGGAGGGGAGTTAGTCACCGCGACCTTACAGATCTATTGTGTGTTTCCCTTTCTTGAGTTATAACGAGTTATAACTCATCATACAGTCTCAAAGCTTTAACAAAAGCCAGTATCTGAGACGGCTTCACAGAGACCAGCTCTCCATCCTTGACATCAGCCGTACCAAAGTTCATGGCACGAATGGTCGTCGTCTCGGCGCACTCAGTGATGAGGTGTTCTGGTGTTTCCCCATATTCCCCACATAATCTGCATTCGCCGTTGTTTCTCAGCTTCAGCCTACTAAGGTGTTCGTTGAGGAGACAGTGTCCTGTTAGAAACCCCGTGACAATCCGAAGATTGTTTTTACTTAAATCAAGGAAAGCCTTTGATTTTTCTCGGTCGTAGGTTCTGAGGAACTTTTTCGAGTGTCTTAGACCGTTGGAGGACATCCATTCCAAGTTGCGTTTGGAGTCTTCCAGATTCTTCAGTCCCGCTTTCAGTTGGTTTCCGCTTGGAAAACAGAACGGTTCTGGTCCAGTTAGTGTAGTGTTCGCTCCTTTCCTAGCTAGATCATTTGCTATTTTATTGCCTTTTATCCCTTGGTGAGCAGGCACCCAGAGTAGGAGGACTTTATTTTCTTTGCCCAACTTGTTGAGCTTCTCTAGACATTCTTTGACCGACTTCGAATTGATGGTTACTGAGTTGATCGCATTTAGTGCTGCATGACTATCGGATAGGATGGCAATTTTCTGGTTTCGATAGTTCCTAAGATAAATTGTACACATCTTTCGATAGCGTAGATTTCTGCCTGAAGGATACTGGGGTAGGTGCTCATTGGTTCGGAGTATTTGTTTTTTTCGGAATTTTTTAATCTAGACAAGTTATCTTAAAAGTTATTTTTTACACAAAATTAACAGATCTAATGGAAAGCTTTACTATGTGTAGTGTAAAAAATAACATTTAATAGTAAAATTTATATATACCAAAAATAGAAGTCAAATATATAAACATCGTTTATTATAATAAAACAAAACCAACGTAATACGCCCAAAGATTTGTAAATGGAGTAAATATAAATAGGTACTTAAGTGATTTAAATACTTAAATACTTAAATGATGTTAAGTAAAAGACTTACATTATAGTTTAGGGCCACAAACAAAAAGAATTGTCTAATTAAAACACATATAATACAAATTATACTTTGAAAATCGTTTTGATAATCATTTTATAATATGATTGGCGTTCTAACAACAATATTTTTTGAGAATTTGATAATAGTATGACAATGGCCTTTGTAAACTATAAAAAAAATTATAATTAACGCCATCTGGCAATAACTAGTAGCAATTATCTAACCTAAAAATGAATTGCACTGCCACCTAGCGACAGGGTCTGGAACTATTTTATTTGAAATTTCCGTGGAAACGGTAGAACCGCTTTTGTTATTTTACTTGTCCGCCCCTGCTAAGTATTTACTTCATTGTGCATATGATTATGTCTGTGGCGAAATTCTCAGCCTTTCTTCTACAGTATGTCCCCGGCTTGTGTTTCCCGGAGAAAAAAACTTTTTTATTATTGACATTTTGAGAAAAATGCATTCATAAAAAAATTTACTTGCCCTAAAATGGTTAATCCCGTTTATACTGTTCCAAATCTCTATACCATTTTAGAGAAAATTAGAAAAAAACACGAAGTCCTAAATATCAAAACGCGTTTCTATGGTAATATAATTTCGATTTCATTCTTTGATAGATGGTTATTATTAATTTTCATTAACGTCATATTTTTGCTGTTGTTAAAGTAGTCCTTTTCCGATAACTATTATCACCGTTTCCGTAGCATTAAACAAAATAAGTTTTGTGCTTCTTTAAGATTTTAAAACAGTAAAGAATATGACGCTAATAAAAAATTCTATCAATAACGATCTATCAAAGAATAAAATAGAAATTCTATTATCATAGAAACGCGTTTTGATTTATAGGACTAAAATTCAACTATATTTTCTGATATTTTCATATTTTTTTCTAATTTTCTCTAAAACGGTACAGAAATTTGGAACAGTATAAACGAGATTAACTATTTTAGAACAAGCAATTTTTTTTATGAAGAATGCATTTTTCTCAAAATGTCTATAATAAAAAAGTTTTTCCTCTTGTAAAGACAATCCGGGGACATACTGTAGAAGGCCATGCGAGTAATGTCATTCCGAAGGAAAATTCGGGTAAATAAATACCTGAGTCGTAATTTAGAAATGTCCTGAATAACTAGATAATATGCATTTTAATAAAATTGTCTGTGTATAGATTTGGATTCCAAAGTATATCCAGATGGAAAGTTGCTTTCATTATTAACTAAAAGTTCGGATACTCCAATGAAAGATGATACCAATCTAAAACAATTAGTAACTTCAAGACCAGTCCACGGAATAAAAACACTTTTACCCGTCAGACCAGCTTCTTCCGAAAATGGCGAAGAAAAAATTAATGCCAAACGCAAAAAAGTCATTCTTAATAGTTCAGAAGGATTTAAAGGTAAGTAATTAAAAATTAATTGTAATTTTCTTAACAGTTTTACAGTTATTTATTTCAAGGTTTACAGTTCATAAATTTATTTTTGTGTCGTTTAGTAGCAATATGCATTTGCAGTAGGAATATCGTACTACAATACGGATTGTTTTTACAAGAGAAAGAACTTTTTGTTATCTTCATAAAAAAAATTTGCTTATTTTAAAATGGTTAATTCCGTTTATATTTTTCCAAATCTCCATACCGTTTTAGAGAAAATAAAAAAAACATGAAAATATGGCTAATATAATTACGATTTTGTTCTTTGATAAGTAGTTAACTATTATTACTCTTTCTGTAGCATTGAACTACAGTACGTCTGTCCGTTCTATAGCTACGGGGTATCCGTGAGAGGGGAAACGATATTCTCTCGATGTTCTTCGTAAAAAATTAGACGACGCGTCCCATCAATAAAATTCGACAAATTTGCAAGTGGCCAATAAAATGAGTGGGCGGAGCGATTTGCGGTGACGTACTCGTCAAGTCGACGTATAAAATATATTGCTGTTTATTTAAATGTTTTTTTGTCCGCATTCCTTTCACAGACACAGATCCAGCAGATGTACTGTAAATAAATTTTGTGCTTATTTAACATTTTAAAAAAGCAAAAAATTTGGCCTACATCAATAACAATCTATCAAAAATGGCCAATATCAATAACAATCTATCAAAGAATTAAAACGCAATTATATTATACTTTTAGAAATTTATTTTTAGGTATCCCACTATATTTTCAAGTTTTTTTAATTTTCCCTAAAATGGTGAGGAAATTTGGAAAAATATAAAACGGGATTAACCATTCTAGAACAAGGATTTTTTTTTATTAAAAATGCATTTTTCTCAAAATGACAATAATAAAAAAGTTTTTCCTCTTGTAAAGACAATTCAAGAAATTACTGTATACTTTACCTACGACCACATATCGGCCTAGTCATTCAAAATCTGCGGTTTGTATTTAAACGTGTAAAACAAAAATAAGGGACGAATATCATAACTAGCTGATAGTCAGAGACATCAACAGATCTTTCAAGCCGCGGTGATTTACTTCCCCCCTCCCATACAATCTAAAATCTACAGATCTAGTCAGAGACACGTAGAAATGCAGGATTGCCGGTTCTTTGCGTTAGGCATGGTTAAATTTGAGTGATGTAAAAAAATTAATAGCCACTACGCCAATAGGATTTGAAATATTACGTAAGGTATTATAACTGTAGTATAATTATGAACTAACTGTTGGAATACTAATATAATCAGACCCTTGCTGTAAGAACTACCTGTAACAACCTATTCAAAACATCTGCTTGGGAAGATTGAAATTGTTCATTGAATATCCGACAACATTGCATATAGAAGAAACGTATTAATCTATTTTTTATCTCTTTTTAACATTCATGCCGGGACCCCATTAGCCAACACCATTATTATGAAATTATAAGGGACCCCATTATTATGAAATTCTGCACCTCTCATTGCAAATATTATCTTCGTTTTAATTGCTGCTCACAGCTAGAATTTTTTTGCATTACAGCCGACGCCGGCGCCGTTCAAAACCCACTTATTCAAAGTTGGCGAATTTTTAAAAATTCTATATCTCGAAGAGGAATCGAAGGTGATTTTAAATTCTCTTCAACTAATTAAAAATATATTGGGTGTCCTATATAAAAAATCAATTTTTCTGTTAATAATTCTTAAATTATTAATTTAAAAAAATTATACTTAAACTATTAAATTCTACGTAAAAAGTTGCTTTGGAAATGTTTTCATATAAATACAAAATTTTTCATAGGAAAAAAGTTACAGCGATTTGTTAAAAATTCACATTTTTGAAAAACACCCCGTAACTTCGAAACGGTAACAGATATCGATGTGCGGTTTTCACCATCATGTTTTTGATAAAAATTGAGCTCCAGACACCGATGTTAGTTTTCGTCTATCTCCTATAGAAAAGGGTGTTTCCCTTTAAAAGTGTCCAATTTGGCCCTGTACTAGAGTAATATAGTGGTGGTAGGTAAATCAAAAGGTATTGCAATTTAGCTAAAAAAATATCAAGAGATTTAAAAGTGTTTTAATACATTTTTAATAATACATTTTTGATAATACATTTTTAATAATACACTTTTAATAAAATATGAATTTGAAACCATATGTTACTATAGGCTTGGTGCATTCTCCGCCGGTGCTGCCACCACCGGAGAATATCGCAAATAATGAATACATAAAAATACACGGGTTTAAATGGCGAGTAAATGAAAAAATTAGTATATAATTATTCTAAAAGTGTTAGAAAGTATAATTTGTGGAAATTCTAAAGAAAAAAAATAAAAAGGTAAATATTTTGATATCTTCAGAAGGTCTAACTTGCATTATAATATATTATTCCAGTTAAAATTTTTTTTAGATGAGTTCAACTACGTTAGCGAGCATAATTTTATCACCGGTTTTGCTACTGGGGCATAATTGGAGCTATTTAGGCTATAATGAAAATTTTTAAAGGTACATAATTATAATTTTAAAAGATGTTCATAAAACGGTTAATCACTAGTTAATTAAAAAATTATGCCATTAATATTGCAGATTATATTTCATCCTCTCATAGTATATTTCTATTTAATTTTTTGATTATGTAACGAGCAATTTGTTTACTCACTTGTTTCGTCGAACTGCTTGAATCCATTTTTGCTATTGATCAAATCGGTGTAAGAATGTATGAAGCTATAAAATGTTGTTTCGGGAGAGTTGAATATCCAGGAAAGTTGTGTATTGAATGTTATTGCACACAACAACACCCTAATTACGCTCTTCTTTACGCGTTAACATTTTTTTGGGCAATTTTATTAACATTTGAAATTGTCACAACACAACAAAACGCCTAGTTCGTATTCTTTTTCACTTATTTTTTACTACCCGAAACAGCGTTACATCACACAAACCTACCTCGTACCTGAGTGTTTTATAGTCTCAATAACTACACTAGCAAAAAACTAAAATACTTAAATATTATGACAAAACCGACATGACGGCGCGGCGGCGTCAACTGTACATTGATAATTTCTGATTTCTGCCGTAGAGTGCGCTGCAGTCGGAATTTGACTGAAATCGAACAAATATAAATAATATCCACACCTTTGTGGAGGGTTTATTTCTTGAAATAAGCCTGCATATTTCGCCACCGAAATAGAAATCTAAAAGATAAAATGTTATTTTTTGTAAATATTGACGTTGGCCCATTGCCTATTATCCAAATGGAAACTTGACAGTGGATTTTTACATGTAAAACAATAGGGTCTGGCTGACAAAATTGTTTAACGTTTCTTTCAGGAGGGATATCTTCTCCCGTCGTCAGAAGTACCAAATAAAAAGAAAACATATTTAAAACATCTAAAAATAACTAATAAGAGAACATTTTAGTTTTTTAGGGAAGACGTCTGTTTAAAACCGTTGATGTTCTGTTATAATGGCATTACATGAAATTAAAGTTAAATTAACAATTACAACTCCATCCCAATTATCTAATGAGTTAAAAGAAAACAACTTAAAATTTCTGTTTATGAAATATACAGGGTTGTTAACCACATACGACACGGGGTATTGTAGCTAAACGATTAGATTTTTACAAATTGTAAGTTTGGGGTTCCTTGAAGGACTATTAGAGCTACAATTTAAAAATATTTTTACAAGATACAGAGTGTCCCAAATAAATAAAAAATTTAATTACTAGCCCATTTGTATGCAAAAAGAAAACTATTTAAATCTTTATAAAAGAGTATACCATTAATTAAATATAACACCATTATTTCCGCCAATATACTAATTAATTACATACTTAATTGTGTTTGTTAATAAATTATTATAAATAAATGTGGATTTGAGTCATAAATCAATATAATAATAAGTTATCGAATTAAAGTCTCTGTTGTTATAAATAAGCATTTATTAAAAAATGAAATATCATTTTTAAGGTGTTACTTTTTATCACACTGTCTAATGCCCATACAAAATTCAGTTTTTTAGAATTTGGAGCAATTATTATTAATCAACGCAAACAGTCAGTTAATGTAGTTTGAATACTGGAATCATATTAATTGGTCCTCTTTAACAAAAATTTAAACAGTTTTTTTTTATTTTTTAATGAAATAAACGAATTATATCGACAATATTAGTATCTGTACTCTTTAAAAATTTGGTACATCTTTAAAAATAATCTAAAATGACAATAGTCCATGGGTATATTGATAAATAAGTTCTAAATTACAAGAAAATGCATTTTCTACGGAAACTTAAAGAGATAGGTAAAAAATGGTATAATATAATTTGATAGACAATTAAATTGTGCATCTGATTCTCGTAAAATATACAGGGTGTTCCATTTAAATTAAACAAGTTATTGCCGTTTGAAGCTAATAATTATTTAAAATAAATTTTTAGACACTCTGTATAAGGTAGTATTATTTTATTATTGCAAGACAATAACTGATCAGTAAATAAACTTCAGTAAATATTTAGTATTAAAAACTTTGATACCCTTGGAGAAATGAAGCCTTAAAATTTTACTGCAATTTCACAAAATTGAAAATATTTCAAAAACGGTAAGGTTTAAGTATAATAAATCTTAATCAAATTTACCTTTATTTTAATCGTAGAAACTAAAAATGTAATAATATACAGGGTGTTCCATTTAAAAAATACAACTTTGATATTTTTTACTTATTTGGGACACTCTGTATCTTGTAAAATTATTTTTAAATTGTACCTCTAATAGTCCTTCATCGAACCCAAAACTTACAATTTGTAAAAATCTCATCGTTTAGCTACAATACTCCGTGTCGTATTTGGTGAACAACCATAGATTTAGTAAGAACAGATATCACATTGTGCATTTTAACCCGATCAAACAATCGGAGGTTGACTACGTACTGTAAAAACCAACTGAAATAGAGAAGGCGACATTGCCACATCTCAAATTTGCGCCTATCTACTTAAGTTTGATTTGCAGAAAAGGTGACTTTAAAACCTTCACCGGATATCAATAAATCTCAATTTCTTAATTAAATTAATAGTTTATTTTTAAAGAAACATGCGTAATAATATGTTATTAACCAGAGGATATATGCATTACTATTAAAGGACATGATTACTGTTTAATGTGCTGAAACGTCTAGAACTATTGGCGACGTCGCTGCTAGTCTTCCAGAATGAAATGAGCCGTCCGTCCCACCACCCCTCGCGACGGCTCTTGGTCCGTTATAGCGTACTACGTTTAGCTTACGGTGTGTTTGAAGTCGGAATCAAGGCCGAAGTGAACTTTTCAGTGGTTTTCAGTAGTTTTTGTTTAACGTACTTTTGAATCTGCGAATGTTCAATATGGTAGGACAGTGTCAAATGTGTGAAAAAATAAGCTCAAATTACCCGAATTTGTCTTTTCACAGGTAGGTATTGTTTCCGCCGTAATAGTACATAGGCGTCCCACAAGGGAGCCTAGCAAAATTAAAATAATTTCTAATTATATTTGTTGAATTTTGATCTATTAAAACAAGAACGTAGTAGCCGGTAATTGAATTATAATTTGTCTCAATTACTACCTAACTGTTGTAGATCATAACAAATTTGAATATAAACGTTGCATTTGGTTAGGTGGGGCCATTGTAACGCACATTTTCAAAATATTTTTGTCAACATACAGGGTGATTCAAACCGCAATTCATATGCTTAATACAGTTCATGAAGATTGGGGCGTATAACTAAAATTTGATTGTCTGATTAAGCTACCTAAGTAATGGATTTGTAAATAAACGTAATATTCATTCAAAAGAATATTTCTGTTTGCTGTAGGTAATTTTCTCAGAGATTAAACGGGAAGTTCTAAGTTCTCTTCTTCTCTCAGGGAAAATACGTAAATAAAAATGACTTTTTAAGTCAAAAAAAGTCAAAAGGACAAGTTATTCCAAAAAAAGACTGTCCTTTTCAAAAATGGACAGGTGGCAACCCTATGTATTTCTGGAATGGAAATTTAATGACAAATTTACAACTTTAGTTTGAAAATATGTTCCGGCCACCTATGATTACAAAAATGTCTAAAACGTGCTTTACCATTGCCTCCATATTCTAAAAAAAAATTGAAATAAAACTTACTAACCACAAATCTAATATAGAACTGTTTCGGAAGCCTGAGTCACTCTGTAAGTATTCAAAAGTAACTGAGTGTTTATATAGAAGTAACTGAAAGTTTAAATTGAATATCGACGTTGGAGTGATTTTCGAAAACTACCTACTAACGTTTCAACATAATGGGATATTAATTATATTATTATATTAGACCTTATAACAAAACTCATCTAACGAAAAAGTGTTAATGTAGTATATTAATATGGAGTAAAAATTTTACTAATTACTTTACTTTTACTTTACTAAATAAATTCGTTCCAAAAAACGATACGCCACTGGCCATTAGAACAATCCAAATGCGCCTAGTTGCCGGGGTCGGAAATTTTAGACTTCTCTGTCTCTTCTGTCCTTGTTTGACACATTGGAATGTTTGATACACTACCAACGAGTATTTATGAATGAGATGTTCGGTCTATCTTTATAATGTCTTTGTGAACAACCCTGTATATATTTTTTTATTTTTTTGCTAATATTGTAATGTGGTGTTGTAATTAAATAGTGTTTATCACCATTTGTAATAAAATATGAACTTGAAACCATATATGTAGTTGTTGTAGACAAAAAATCAACGAAGTCATACATTAGTAACCTCTACAGACACCTGAGAAGAACATTTACATTTTTGTTTGACAAGTAAAATGCTCCGGACTAGATAAAGTCTGTCCAAGAAGTCAGGGAGGATTTAGACAGATGACATTCAAAAAATGACAATACAATTTACTTGTGAAATAAATTGACAGAGTCAACTGTCACTGTAATGGGTTCTCCCATTGTACATACTATATCTTACGTTTCAAAAATAACTTATTATTTTGGGTTTCTCTTTTAGTGGCGAATTGCACAGACTGTTTACAAGAAATATGAAATATGTTTAAAGATAATTATATTTAGTTAAAAAAATGTTTTAATCAGATACCGCAGTGAATTGTTTTTTATTACTATAGGCTTGGTGCATTTCAGTTGATTTCAACAAATTCCGACCGCAGCGCACTCTACGGCAGAAATCAGAAATTATCAATATAGTTCACTCCGCCGCGCCGCGCCGTCATATCGTTCGCATTAAAATAATATTGAAATCGGGGTTTTGTCATAATATTTAAGTATTTTAGTTTTTCGCTAGGGCAGTTATTGAGACTATAAAACACTCAGGTACGAGGTTTGTGTGATGTAACGCTGTTTCGGGTAGTAAAAAATAAGTGAAAAAGAACTTGAAATAGGCGTCTTGTTGTGTTGTGACAATTTCAAATGTTAATAAAGTTGCCCAAAAAAATGTTAACGCATAAAGGAGAGCATAATTAGGGCGTTGTTGGGTGCAATAACATTCAATAACTCACTTTCCCGGATATTCAACTCTCCCGAAACAACATTTTATAGCTTCATAATTTCTTACACCGAATTGAAAAATAGCAAAAATGGATTCAAGCAGTTCGACCAAACAAGTGAGTAAACAAAATGCTCGTTACATAATCAAAAAATTAAATAGGTATATACTATGACAGGATGAAATATAATTTGTGCAATATTAATGGTATACTTTTTTAATCAACTAGTGATTAAATGTTTTATGAACATCTTCTAAAATTATGATTATGTTATGTACCTTTAAACAATTTCGTTATAGCCGAAATAGCTCCAATTATACCCCACTAGCAAAACCGGTGATAAAACTATGCTAGCTACCGTAGTTGAACTCATCTAATTTTTTTTAACTGGAATAATAAATTATAATGCAAGTTAGACCTTAGAAGACCTTGTGGTTAGACCTTGTGAAAATATCAAAATATTTACTTTTCTATTTTTTTGTTTAGATTTTCCACAAATTATACTTTATAACACTTTTAGAATAATTATATACTAATTTTTTCATTTACTCGCCATTTAAACCCGTGTATTTTTATGTATTCGTTATTTACGATATTCTCTGGCGGTGGCAGTATCGTCGGAGAATGCACCAAGCCTATACTCTATTACATATTAATTCTATGAGTAATATTTTCCTGTTTTATTTTCCTTTATAATCATTTTTAGACGCTCTGACTAATTACATGTATTCTGTCCAATGAAAGAATATATCACAATGGCAGTGGGTGTCTGTCACTTTTATTCAAAAATATATTTTCTTTACTGCTATTTTTTGTATGTCGAAATCGTAATATCTTGCTTGACAGATTATACTAATTAATTAGCTTTCTTTAAGATTGTTTTTTGGAATTCTAATATCCACTAGTTTGCAGTATTTCTTGTAATTATTGAGTTTATGTATACCGGGTAGCATCCATATTCTTATTTTGGAGAAATCGTAATTTGATTGTTTTTTAGAATAAATTTGAAACTTCATTTCAGTTATATCGCTTCCCGATTTAAACGAAATTTTCTCTACATGTGGTTTAAAATTGTTTTCAACGGTATACCACAAGTTGGTCAAATTCAACGGATTCATTTGGTAATTTTTCATTGACAAAATGTCGGATTGACAAAAAATATTTGAGATTAATTAAAGCACTGACTTTTTGGTTTTGTAGAGCTTTTACATTTTTCTTCTAAATTAAATATGTTACTATAACTTGAATATCTTACAAAATATGTTTGTCAGTTTTCATGTAGGGTTCTTACCGGGTGATGTTGGTATATTTTTATTTATTTCTTATTATACATTTCTTTGAACGTTGATAGATTGAACAGTTAGGATTATATAATTATCATTTTTAACATGTAATTTAAATTATATGTTGTAACTATATTTTAAGGTAGATCTCAGCAGGCTGCAAGTTCGACAAAATCCGATAACAACCAATCTACTCACCTACCATTACCACAAACATCACATTCTCAAAGTCAGGTTACTTCAGTTTCACAATCAAATCCACAATCACCACTCTCCGACGTGTCTGGGCCTTTTTCTTCAATTCCTTCCGCCTTCGATTTAGCGCCACCTGTCGGGCTTAATACAATGCAGTCTTTTCCATCGATTGCCCAGTTCGATGGCGTTATCATCGAAGGTGGTAAAATTATCAAATTAGAGCGAATGAAACAAGAAGAGATTATCAATTGTACCTGTGGATTTACGGAAGAGGATGGTTTAATGATACAGTGCGAGTTATGTCTTTGTTGGCAACATGCATACTGCAATAATATACAGAAGGAGAGCGAGGTACCCGAAAAATATATATGTTACATTTGTCAACATCCACAAGCGGAGAGACAGTCTATGAAATACTTACATGACCAAGATTGGCTGAAACAGGTAAATATTAATTTTATTCACTTAATAATTTAGTTTCTAATGCAATATGCAATATTAATCTCCATGAAAATTCTGTTTTAGCATAGCTATTTAAATATTGTTTTTAACAAATTTGTAAACACATTTGAATTGCACTATTACTCTTGTAATGTGTAATATTACAGGAGTAATAGTACAATTCAGCATATGTAATAGCAAAAAAAACATTTTGACATTGAATAAAAAGAGTAAGGATCGTGTATATAAAAAAATGGCAAGACTGTGAAGGGGTTTCAATACGACTCACTTGAATTCCAGCTTATCAGTATCATGTTAAGATATTGTCGCGACCTAGCTTGGGGTTGTTTGCTAGGATCGCTTAGACCAGGATCTCTCTTTCGGTTAAAATAGGGTGACCATATTTTTGTTGACCAAATGCTGGACGGGCAAAATTAGGAGGGGGGGGGTATAGTATGAAGAAATACAACTTTTTTTTCAACACAAAAACAAACAAAATTCTTTATAATAACTTATAGTAACTTATAAATACTTCTCGACAGAGTGAGTTTTTTTAAAGTTCCTAATTGTCTTTTATTTTATCTGCGAACTATCCACAAGTGCTTGCAATATTGCAGCGAACAATACACGTAGCTTTAAGCGTCTCTACACTCATTTGCGACTTTTCATCAGTCCAATAATTGTTAATTAATTATTGAAAACTGTCTTTCGGTGGGTGCATTGGTTCTGGACAAACACAAAGAAAACTGAATTAATTTTTTTAAACTATCAATCAACTTGTGCTTCGATATTCGATAAGGATAAGAATTACTTAATAATTTTAAATTTTTTATTTTTTAATGTTTGCTGGACATGCTGTACAATTACACTGTTTTGCTGTACGTTTGCTGTACAGAAATCAATGCTGTACAGGCTTTGCAAATGCTGTACGTATGGTCACCTTAGGTTAAAACAACAATTAGAAAAATATACATTTATTGTGCAAAAATATACAATAGTTTAAATAAGTAGGAAGAGCAATTATTCTTGGAAATGCCAAGCCTTACAGAGTATGCTGAGATAATTCGTTCATTGAGATACTTACATCTTCCCTGGCTGACTGGCTGACTGGCTGACTACTGACTTCTCAACTAACTCACTATCTGATTAACTGGCTGACTGGCTACTGATTAACTGACTGTCAATTAACTAACCATTTGACTAACAACTTACCATGAACTAACCCCGCTCTCTTCAGCATACTCTTTTTATATTTTTCTATTCCTCGTAGTCGTCGCCGGTTACGTCGTCAAAATAGTTTACAATCTAATTACACTAACCCGGCTATGACCATGAGAAAATCGAACTTCGCTGACCTGCGTTTGATTATCGACACGAGATTGTTATGTTTATGTTATATATAATTAGTCAATTCTGGTAATGTTGCTAAGGAAACATGGTCTATTGTGAATGAGTTGAGAAACAAAGCTTCTTCGTCTAGCAATATCTCTACCTCGCCTGAGAACCTTAACGATTACTTTGTAAATGTAGCGAAAAACTTAACTAATACCATATGTCCTCCTCATGATCCACTTTCTTATCTCTCTAATGATAATGTAAACTTACACAGTTTCTTTTTTTCGCCCGTAGTTCTTGAAGAGCTTCGCAGTACAATTAATACCATCAAAAATAAATCCTCTTCTGGGACCGACGGGCTAACTTAAAAAATGTTTTCGAATCTGCCAGAAAGCACTCTGAATCACCTAACAACTTTAATAAACATGTCGTTCCAAAATGGTATTTTTCCAAAATGTCTTAAGACGGCAATAATCATTCCTCTGCACAAAGGAGGAGACAAAGATGAAGCTTCTAACTATCGCCCAATTGCACTCCTTCCAACGCTATCTAAGATCATAGAAAGGTTGGTTAAAAGAAGGCTGGTATCTTTTCTGTTTAAGTACAAAATACTTACTGAATATCAATTTGGATTTCTAAGCAACAAGTCCACAAATGACGCTATGTTTTCCCTCCTTAATAAAGTTTACTCCAGCCTAAACAACCATCATTCTACAGCAACAATTTTCTGTGATTTTTCTAAGGCGTTCGATTGTGTAAGTCATAAAATCCTAATTAATAAACTGCAGCACTATGGGTTCAGGGGATCATCTCTCGAATGGTTTAAGTCGTATCTGAGCAACAGAAGTCAACTTGTGAGGGTGGATACCACGTTGTCTTCTAGCAAGCCAATAGAATGTGGAGTACCACAAGGCTCAGTACTAGGCCCTATTTTGTTTCTTCTTTTTATTAACGACATTGCTAACATAAACATCAGTGGCAAAATATGTCTTTTTGCGGACGACACTAGCTTCACTTGGAGCAACAAGGACATCACGGCACTTCATTGGATTATATCAAATGACTTAATCACCATTAAATCTTGGTGCCATTCGAACCTCCTGAGTCTCAACATTTCTAAAACTAAAGCTTTGTCGTATAAAAACTCGTTGCAGCCTTTTGTACTTAACAACACCACCATTGACGTCGTAAAATCTGTAAAATTTTTAGGGCTTGTTGTGGACAATTCTCTGAAATGGGACATACATATCGAAGCTTTGTCGAAAAAATTGAGCTCTGCCTGTTTTGCATTAAGGTCTGTTTCTAAGGAGCTTAACTTGTCAGTGGCTAGAACTGTTTATTATGCACTTTTTGAGTCGCACCTCAGGTATGCCCTTCCATTCTGGGGTACGTGTTGTGCGACTCAATTTGACCGCATTTTCAAGCTCCAGAAGAGAGCTGTTCGATATTCACTAGGACTAAACAGCAGAACTCATTGCCGGGACTTTTTAAGGAATTAAGAATATTGACTCTTCCTTCCTTATTTATATTTGAATCCGTTTGCCTAATACGTAAACATGTATCAGCTTCTCAAGAAAGGCCATCTCACACTTATCCACTCAGGAACGCGGAGCAAGATCTTTATCTACCTACCCCACGCTCAGAGTTAGTTAAAAGTTCAATATTATACAACTCGAAAAAAATGCACAATCACCTGCCATTTGAAATCAAATCCATAACATCATTTTTTTCATTTCGCAAAGCATTGAACTCTTATTTACTAGACAAGGCTTTCTACGCCGTAAATGAATTATATTTGAATTGAAAATCGAATTTGATCTTGAAAACACTGGTCTAATGTTTGCTATTGCTATATTTACTAATGACATCGAAATTAATTTATTTAGTGGTCATTGATATTTTGCTATAAACTGGCTAAATATTTTTGAATATTATTTTAAATTTTTTGTTCTTTGACATTGTAAACATTTATAAATGTTTATTTTAACAATAAGACTGACAATATTATTTATATAATGTTTTGTATTATATATATATTGTTTGTTTGTGTACCTTGTTTTTTTCTACTTTGTTTGTTAGTTTACCTTTGTCTACAAATTGAAAAATTTTTTGACAATAAAGGCATTTATTTATTTATTTATTTATATTTTAATTGTTTAATTACAAAGTTATACAAAAAAGTGGTCTATGCTAGTAGTGGGAACTATCGAAACATTCGATAGTTGCAATTCATTCGAATAATTCGATAGCTAGAAAACGTTCGTCGAAAACTATTCGAATAAAAATTATCGAATAGATGCGTCATTTGCCTTGAAATATTCTATTCTAGTAATTCGACAGCAAAAAACATTTATTTATAAAATTCATTTATTCGTCAGGATCGACTATAATAATTCTAATATAATCTGGATTTTAGTTGTGACGTAGGTTTCCTTCCTAGAAACCCGACAGCGGTCGGTGGCAATAGTATGGAAGAAGCCGGCATCTTTGATTTTTTGCGGAGTCTGACAAGGTCGCATTATTTTTTTTTGAGGTGCTACTATTTACACAGAAAATACATTATGAAGGGCGCCGTTGCCATATATTGGTATTAGTTGGTATTAGCAAAGAATATTATTCTTTGGTATTAGTTAGTTAAGGATAGTATGTCTATATATTTTGCATTTTTTTATTAATATTCTGTTGTTACACTGCAATAGTACTTTTTATTTTGGATGTAGGAAAATGATTTTTAATGTTTTTAAGCAAAGACTGGTTTAACAAATAATAATAACAGTAATAATTTGTTATACCTATTAACATCAAAATTTAAAATCATGAAATATAAACATTTATTTATTTTTTAAGTAGTAGCAAAATATAAACAACAAATTAGAAGTCAAAATTATTCATATTAGATCCTATTTAAAAAAAATTGGCGCCGGGAGGCACGTATAGCCGCCCATTCTAAAATATGTTAATAAAAAGTTGGTAGGCAGTTCTTTTAGTTTCAAAGTAAAGGATTTTTTCCAATTTTGGTCCGCGGTTATTTCCCCTATCCGCCACCTGGGGACGCGTCGAGTTCTTCGAATAGAATTTTATAAATGAGTGTTTTTTGCTGCCGAATTACTAGAATAGCATATTTCAAGGCAAATGACGCATATATTCGATAGTTTTTATTCGAATAGTTTTCGACGAATGTTTTCTAGCTATCTAATTATTCGAATGAATTGCAAGTATCGAATGTTTCAATAGTATTTATTCGTTAGTTCCCACTACTAGCATAGACCACTTTTTTTGTTTGGCTGTGTAATTAAATAATTAAAATATAACCATCTCGGGTCGATAATCAAAAGCAGGTCGACGAAGTTCGATTTCCTCATGGTCATAGCCGCGTTAGTGTAATTAGATTGTAAACTATTTTGACGACGTAACCGGCGATGACTACGAGGAATAGAAAAATATAAAAAGAGTATGCTGAAGAGAGCGGGGTTAGTTCATAGTAAGTTGTTAGTTAATTGACAGTCAGTTAATCAGTAACCAGTCAGCCAGTTAATCAGATAGTTAGTAAGTTGAGAAGTCAGTAGTCAGCCAGTCAGCCAGTCAGCGATGGAAGATGTTGTAAGTATCTCAATGTGTATGTCAAAAAAAATGTCGATGTTATCGATTATTTTGACGACGCTGCCACAAAGTAACTAACTAAAGCATTTCTCCAAACCCGTTCTCTTCTACGTTTTAACAATAAGTAAATGGTAATTTTGCGCCTTCTGTCCTAATCCCACAATCGTAATCGATATTCATAATCATTAAACAAATTTAAACTCATATTGTATGCTATAAAATATAAAATAAAGATCGTAAACACGAATAAAAAACAAATTAAGTTATCTCAGGTTATGATTTTTTTTTGGTAACTTTCAGTGGAGCAAAAATGAAATGTCCCTAAAAATTCGCGACTGTATGAAATATGTCCAAATTTTACGAATATTTTTTGGCGAATCGCTTTCCGCAATTCGCGATTCGCGTCTACATGAAACAAGCTTTAGTATATAAATGAATGAATGATTTATTCGAATAAAACCATTTGATAGTTGGAATCATTCATTCAGTAACCATTGGATAGTCTAATTCATTCGATAGTTCTCATCGCTAGTGTACGCTTTTTACGAGACCATCATATCCTATAGTATTTTTCGACGCTGAGCACTTTTGTGCATAGAAGACGTGCATCTAATTTCATAAAACCATCTATAATAACATCAGAGTTATAATAAAAAAAAATTAAAAATTTAACACCCTGTATCTCAACAATTAAGATTTTTAAGATATACATGTTTATTTTATGCCACACCCTAATGTGTAGAAAAACTTTAATTTGTGAAAAGCATATTGAAGTACATGTTTTATTTATATTTATTTTATAATTATCTATGTAATAACAACAGGTGGAATCATATTACCAACTCGTTTTTGACCACTTAAAGTAATTTGAATTTTTAACTCTTTATTGTGACCGTTTGGGACAATATAAATTATTTTTTTGATGATACATGTTTTCACACAATATCTGGTTATCATGTGCAGTATTTTTATTTTTGCCCATTGAACTTTTTTGTCTAGTTTTTTATTAACCATAATTGAATGTCGTAGAATCCACAAAATTTAGTTCTATTTATAAGAGATTAAAATTAATAATTTTTCTTCTATTTATTCATTAACTGTTAATTGTATTTTAGGGAATTCTACCGGTAGCCTCGTATCATGCAAGGGACGATCAGGAGTTAAGGAAGAAGTTTGATAAGTTAAAGAAATGTTATGATCTATCAGGAGGATTATTAGAACTTCAAGAGTATTTACATACCTTGGCGTATAAACTAAAAATTGCAGAGTAAGTGCTAATAATAATGTGATATGTATGTATATGGTTTCTATGTATAGGTGTATATGGTTTTATTAGGGGTAAAAAGTTTAACTAAACACTTTTGGTAGCGAGGTTGGTATAAAAAGTAATTTTTTCTCCGAATAGAATATGCTATTTTTTTCAAACCTCACAAATAAATTTTTAATCTATGGTTACTAACAATGAATTTAAAAATCGCGCCGTCGCTTACGGAACTAAACAACTCTGTGTCACCCAACAAATATTTTTGCCAAAAGTAATGACTATAATTGAAAATTATTCTTAGTTCTCTCAGGTGTAAAATACAACATGATCGAAAATGGCTATGAAAAGAAGATCGCTGCCATTTTATATGTAAAATTATATGGGGAATGTCATCGATGTTTATTTCCAAGCCAACTGGACGCCTTTTTTTATCATACGGTATATCTTAATTAGAACCACTGACAAGATATTTTCGTTGACGGATTAATATGTATAGTCTGTGAAACGAATAACTTTGAATTTGACAGTTCCCGCGGACTTTACTAGTGTTAATTTTATTAGGTTAGCAACTTGCGGCCATGCTGACGCAATGCCGCACGGTGGAAAGACCCAATATAAAATGTTGGACATTGACTTAAAAATAAAATTTTAAATTAAATAATTTTGGTAGAAGATTTTAATTACTTAAAGTCCAGACCGTTATATTTTATCCAACTCAAAAAAATATTTTTAATTATATGTCTGTTTGAAAAGTTTCAAATGAAGATATTACACTGACTTAATTATGGTGTTCATTTCTTGTGAAACAACCTAGTTTTATAAAAAGTGGCAAAGACATTAATACTTTTTTTAACCATACATATTAGTGCAAACGATTGTTTTCACTTTAAAATAAAAGATATATATAGTCACAAAAGTTTGGGAGAACAATAATTGTATATAAGAGACACATAAACATTTTTTTGTTACTAAATACTATATTTAGTAGCAAAAAAATGTGTATGTAGAAAAATAAAAAAATGGCCAGAGTTGGCCAAGACTTTATATATGTCACAAGGTAGATTAAGCCTTTCTAATAACGAAACTAATTTAACATCTTGCCCCAGGTTGCCCCCCTCTAAACATTTTCATTTTATATATTACTAATACATGCTATACCAAAATCAAAAAAGTTTTCAATTCCAATAAATTAATTTAAAATTTTTAGAGTCAAATTATCTTTATTTTTTTATAAATTTATTAATATTTAATTATTAATTGGATAAATACAAAATGACGCTTAAATCAAAAACAGATACAGGGTGCTACAAATATATAGAAAACTTATGGAAAAAGAAAGCGGGTTAAAGTGCAGTGTTGAGCTTTTTTATTTGTAATAAAAATATTCTAGTGCGTTGATTTACTGTTATATTCTTTGCTTATAATAAATTGTACAGGGTGTCCGACTAAGAATAGCTTTCGGCTATATCTCGGAAAGTATTAGCCGTGAGGCCGGCGGAAAAAAATATTCGTAACTAAAGAGGCCATGAGAAATTGCTGGAAATTATTTTCAAGTTTGTAGAATGGCCACTAGAGGGCACAACTGCTATAAAAAATAAGAAAATGGAGTTTTTACACAATTTTGCCTAGATAAAGGGTAGTATAAATAATAGCTTCATAATCTTCAGTAAATTCTGAATATTTTCTGTTAGCCATGTCACTCTATGCCAAAATAAAGTGGTGGGGGAAAGTTAGATCTACTTTTATTTAAATATTAATAACTCCGGACTGGATGGACGGAATCCAACTAGCGGGGGCTCACTTAAAAGAGCGTTTCTTACTCTATATTATACCATATAAAAAATAATACTAAGCTTTTGAACGTAGACGCTACGGGGCGCTGTCTTACAATTAACAAACATTGCGCGTTTTTTCAAAAAAATGCGATAATATATATAATTTTAGCTAATAGTAAAGAGTAATGAAAGCTTAAAGAGTGAAAACCGCATCTTGATATCTTTTTTCAAACCGAAGATATTAGCAAAATTATATTAAATAGGAAAATATAAGCCCTTAATTACCATATTTTTATAACATGGTATCAGTAGTCCTAGATCTCAGTGGTAAAATCTAACGCTATTTCTTTTAAAAAAGATTAAAACTAAAACATTTATAAGCATTTAAAAATTCTAAGATTTTTCTAAAACATACTATATTTTTAGGTCACCCTGTGGATGGTTTGTAATGAGCCAACCACTTTCTTTCATTAAAATTTAAAATTGTTCTGTTTATACATTATTACGGTATATAAAAATCATTTTTTCGTCTTTTGGATTAAAAGTGCAGAGAAGAAAACCTCATGTCCAACCGCTCCCATAAGCTCGTTCCACTGTGTGCCGTCTCTAATAGAACTGCCTCGGAGCGAGATTTATGACGTCACGCTAGTTAGATACTACGGATTAATAAATATGTTGTAGAATACATGGAAAACATAATTATTCCTCGTATTTTTGGTTTGTATTTTCAAAATGGTATAGTTTACATGAAATATACATAATATACAGCTAATATCACAATATACAGGGTGTCCCAGAAAAAAGGTGAAGGTATTTTAACTGGTAGTATAGTTCAACCCCGGAAACACTCCTATGAGGTTTCTTTCGCGAAAAAAAAAATTGAAAATTAGAAATTTTTTGAAAAATTTTATACGTATTATTTATTTACGTATTTTTTATATTTTCAAAGTAAAATAACTCCGTTATTTTGGACTTATTTGAAAACGATAAAGAGAAAATATGTTTCTTTTATTGAGATCTACCACCCTTTAAAATACTTGCACTTATTTCTGGGACACCCTGTATATACCTATTTATTGTAATAAATACTTTGACAAATAAACTATGAACCATACAAATGCAGCAAATGTTTTACAATATACAAATAATGAATAGGTACATAAGATAATAGGTAAACTGTAAAATATATTTTAAATTTTGGGGTTTGAAAATCGACCTAATTTAACAAAAAACATTCAATATCTACTAATAGTGATGTATTATTATTTGCATTCATAAAATGTATAGGTGTATATTTTGCAAGTATCAATGTTCGAAAAATTATATTTGCAAATAATACAATATTATCGACAAAAAGGCGTCAGCGATGGCTATGAAATGAAAATCGCTGTCATTATATAGTATCTAACTAGCGGGACGTCATAAATCTCGCTCCGAGGCTGTTTCATTAGAGACGGCATTGGTCTGATATTTAGAAATGTCAAAAGCTGATGACATTTTACTTTTGACAATTATGGCATTTCGTGTTGGTTCTTGCAAGAAGAGGAAGAACTGTCACTTGTTTTACTATTTTCTTTTTCTATTTCACGAGAGTTACCTATCTGATTCGTTCAGGCACTCAATTTAAAGAATATCAGTAACTTTTTTGACAGAGGGATTTTATATTTGCCATGTTGGTAAAAAATAACGGTCAAAATTGAAAGTTATTCATTTTATAGACTATATATGTACCGGATGCCCAACTAAGAATGTACGCCGCGCCGGCTGTATCTCAGAAACTACTAAACTTATCATATAACTTTGGGAAAAAAATTGTAATAAGTAAATCGGCCACGAAAAATTGCAGGAAATTATTTTCAAGATCGAAAAATGTCCGCTAGGGAGCGCCTCTGTGATGGCTAATCAGAAAACAGGATTTTTCTCAAAAATATGCAGGTGAAGATGTATCTCAAATATTGCTATTGTAATCAATGGGAAATTTGTATTTTATTTTGATATAGCGTATTTTGCTCTATCTCATAAAATAAAGTGGTGGGGGAAGGTTAAACTTGCTTTTATTAAAATAAGAATAACTCTGGTTTGGGCTAGCCGATTTAAAGAAACTAGGGCTCGTTTAAAAGGGCTTTTCTTCTCTAGTGATCTCCAGTATAAAGGCCCGTAGAAAGGAACCGGGCTCATAATTTCAGGAAATATTTGTACCCATAAAATACTTCGATACAGCAAGTTTCAGATTTTTATCTATAACCGTGTCTGAATAAATCGAAAAATATATATAAAAATCAGTAAAAATTGCTATTCTCAGCGTCTTGTGATTCGAATGATCTAGTGACCGGATATGTTTTGGGGCATGATGGTAGCTTTTTTGAAAAAAAATGAGGGCTATATTCGTCTGCAAGAACCTAAAAAACAAGGTTTTATTCTTAATTTTATTTTTTAACCATGTTACGATAAACGTAAAAATATGAAACTATTTTTTTTTGAATTCCTCATTCAATTTTCGATGAAATTATGAGCTTATGATTTTTTTAAACCGCACATCGATAAAAATTAAAAATCGATTTTGATTGAGATGATTAACTCTTGAAATGATAAAATACAACACTTTTCCGACTATTGTACTAGTAAAAACAACAAAATAAATTCGGGACGCTCATCATTGATCATGAAAAAAAGCGATTTTTAATTTTTTTCGATGTGTGGTACCGTTTTAAAAAAAATTCGCAAGCTCAAAATTTCATCGAAAATTGAATGAGGAATTCAAAAAAAAATAAGTTTTATATTTTTACGGTTATCGTAACATGGTTAGCAATTAAAATTAAGAATAAAACCTCGTTTTTTTAGGTTCTTGCAAACGGATATAGCTCTTTTTTTTTTCAAAAAGCTACCATCATGCCCCAAAGCATATCCGGTCGCTAGATCATTCGATTCACAAGGCGCTGAGAATAACAATTTTTACTGATTTTTAGTATTTTTCTATTTATTCAGACAGGGTTGTAGATAAAAATCTGAAACTTGCTGTATCAATGTATTGTTACGGATTCCGTGGGTCCACTATTTAAACTCACGATAAAATACTTAACGAATTTATTTGTTTCACTCTGTACACACAACTTATACTATTTACAACACAACTTATGCAACTACTATTACTCTAACGGTATTTCGCGGTATTATCAAACTTCAGACTATCCTCAGACTTGACTTCAAACTTCAAACTTTAAACTTTAAACTTGTCCAACTGTCAAAGCGCGGGCCTTATATACCCCCTGGCGGTTGTTTCTAGATTTTTCTAAAGAATTCTATAATTTTCTTTATTTTCTGGCGAATGCGCCAGGTTCCTCTAGGCACGCCGCGACTTTTTAGCAGTATGCAGTTATGCAACCAGTAATACACCTTGACAGTATTTTATGGGTACAAATATTTCCTGAAATTATGAGCCCGATTCCTTTCTGGAGCCGATTCGGTATTCTTATCGTCCCAGGGCCTTTAATGAATAGATCGTGTAAAAAACTTGTATTTACCGTTAATATATTTTTACATTTACAGAGCTAAAAATCACCCCAAGCTGTACCTATGGTCTAAGCCCTGGGAAAAATCTAAACTACCAGAAAAATCTGAAATAAAAGAAGAGAAATGCACTGACGCAACACTTAAAGTAGAAAATAGTGATCATCAGTATATCAAAAATGAAATGGATACCGAAAAACCACCGTCGAACGATTCCATGCTTATGATGATGATCAAGGAAGATAAAGAAGATATTCCAATGCTTAATGTCAACCATAACATGGCAACGATTATTCCTCGTTCCGAAGCCGCGATAGATTCGGATGATTGCAGATTAAATTTGTTAGATCATATCTCCCATGCAGAAACTTTGATAGAAGAGAGATTGGACGAATTTGAGAAACAATTTTCGGAATTAGAAGAGGGAGTGAGTTTAGAGTTGGAAGCTGACTATCCAAAAACAAGGCAGACTTTGCAATTGTTAATAAGAGATCTGAATACTTTAAAAAAGTTCAGTGAGTTGCCAATGATTTAGCCTCGGATTTAGCTGTAGTTTTAATTTAATTTTGTGATGTTATTGTAACATTTTAGTTGGAGTTAATAAATCGTTTCATATGAGTCTACTTTTTTTATTTTTTTTTCTAAAGAGATAATGTCGCGTTCAATATTTTTATTGAACCATTATTTAATGGTGCTTTTTTGTATTGTAATATTTGATATTTCAGTATTTGAATAAAACAAGTTTATCAAACACTTTGAATAAAAAAGATTAAGGAAGGAGCATAATGGCTATCCATGTATGGTCGGCGGAAAAAGGACCCTAGGGTGGGGATCCTTGACAGTTCTGTTTGACGATTCATTTGACACATTTGAATCTGATTTGAAATTTTGTGGATTTGTATGTCTTTACGGAGCTTATTTTATGTTATTTATTATTTATTCTACTATTGATAGTTTAAAGGTAGTAAATCTAGATGGAAATTGTGGCAGAACTTAAAATTAACAGTAACACTATTGCGATTTATCGAAAAAGACTGTAAAATAGTTGGTTGTGTAGCGTGCGGTAGATCTCGGTCAAAAATCGAGTGAAATAATGGAACAACCTTTCGCTAGTAAGTGACTATATAACATACATACGCAGGGGCGGATACAGGAATTTATTTTAGGGGGGGCCCAAATCAAAAATAATGTAAAATATGCCTTTTAGGGCGTCATTTTTAACCCAAAAGGCTAATATTTAACCAAACTTACAGATTTTATGGGGGGCCCGGGCCCTAAAATATACCCTGTATATTTTACGTGAATCAGATGAAGATGAGGTACTATATGCAAAATTTTATGCTATATCCAATTATGTGCAAAAACATTGGCGGTGCAATTAAAAAAAACTAAAGCTTTATCATAACTTTTTTGGGACACCCTGTATACAACAAAATATTTTTTAGGATATGCACCATTTTAAACCATACAGCATCTGTATAGAACCTTTTTTTCATATCTTTGTCAACAACGACGATATCGGACTTTCTCGTACTAATGCGCCACCCTGTATATTTTCCAAAGGGGCGCACAGTGGGGTATTTGACACAGATAGTTGATCGAAATTTGTTTATGTGGACCTTATATAAATTATTGTTATTTTCAATTAAAGAGGAAATAAAAGGAACAAAATAAAGGATAATTCGTCGATTCTAAAAAAAGAAAGAAAAATCGCTGTTCCAGTGTTTCCACGGTCAATGCCACTAATTCCAGTAGTAATATCGCAACTAATATTACTAATGCTACGACTGATCCGCGAGCAATGCCCATACCACTAAAGTCGCTACTAATGCCAAATTGTGCTATACTGCTAATGGTATTAATGCGATCGCTTTCTTCACAACAATGCCATCGCGGTTTACACCTCGCATTAGTATATCACTGATTGGCAAATTAGAGGAAACCAAGAATGTTTTTCTCATTTTATCAGCAAAGTCGCAAAAAGTCGCAGTATTTTATTTTACTGTACGAAAGCCCAATGTTTACTAAGTAAAACGTATATAGACAATATGCTGAATTCTTCGAAATGCGCAACTAAATCTCTAGGTATAATAAAAATGTCACAAATTTAATCAAATTTTCTGAACGCCTAACTTTTAGTTGCAAAAAAATCGTTAGTATAGAGAATATCAAAATAAATAAAACGTTTTTGTAGAATACATACCTGCAGCTTGCTGAGCCATTTTCAATCAAAACAATAATATAAACGTAAAAAGAGCACAAGAACAACAACAATTTATAATTTTAAACATAAAATTTAGCCATTTACCTCTTATCTGTGAGAAGTAACAACTTTGACGTTTCGTTGAAACAACTAAACACACCCATAGCAACGTCATTCATGGCAGAGATGATTTAACTTATCATTTATCTTTTTTTGAGAAATCTTAAACACATTTGCTTTTTCGAATTTCGATCACCTTTTTCATGCTAATACCCCACCGTGGGGCGCCTAGTGGCAGTAAATCTTTTTATATTTCTTTTAAGGGACCTTTAACCTCAATAACAGATATAAAAATAGTTTATGCATATTTAAGCATTTTTTTAAAACTCAAGATTAAAATTTAATTTTTTGTGATACCCTAATTGGTATTAAGACTTTGAAAATTATTGTTATTGAATACATGTTGGTATTAAAGACCTGGATAAATCGCAAGGTCATATTTCATATAGAATAAAAATATGATAAAAAGTTCATTAAGTTTTGGAATAAGTATGAAATCATGCAGTTTAATTTGTAATAGTCAATTTAATACGGAAATTTAAATAAAATATATATTCTGGAAAAACACCCTTGCACTATTTAGTAAGTTATCTATAATAAAGTTATGACTATTTTTAACAAATTTGAAGACTTTAGAGCACATTTATTCCAACAAATATCTTAATTTAGAAATCTTGTATCTACTGTGCGCCGGCGCCGCCGCTGCCGCCGCACAATGGATCGAAGCATAAGAAAATGGAGACATTGGCTGTTTTTGAAGAGTTCCAAATTTAAATATTTTTTTACATATTTGTGTTAAAGAGATATTCTAGTCTTGTAAAACATATACAGTATATCTGTTTGTTATTTACTTATTGAGCATATGAGCATCATTTGAAGTAAATTGAAAAATCATTCAAATTGGTAGATAAAGAGTCTTACATTTTATTGTAATTTTAAAATGGATGTAAAAGATATTCGTTTGTTATATATAACGACTTATTAGAAGCGTTCTTGGGCTATAGTATTGGATTGTTAAATTAAAAAAAAAGTCACATCAGAAGTGAAAAACTCATTTGTTTTTATTTATGTCATTAAGACTTAAAAATATAAAGTTTTCTTGAATTACAAAAAAATGTAAGCGGATGTAAGTGGAGATATTACATGCAATGTAAAGAGCCCACCTTTACTAGCACATATCATAAAAAAATTGGCTGCCCCAAAGTGCCACTGCAAAAAATATAATGTTTTTAATATCAAAATTCTTGAATGTATGCAATGCACGCACAGTGCACCATCAAACAATTTGTAATTTGCCGATATACATAGCTAAGTATATTCGTCGAAGAATATTGGAGTGGGACTAAATTACACTAAAATACATAAGGCATATGGTTGAAAGGCCCAGAAATGTTTTCGTTAATACCATTCATTTTTATGTAGTTAAGATAAACAAGAGACACCGAACATGAATGAGTCGAAGTTCAGGTTTTGTCTTTTTATCAATACAGAAATGGTATAATATTTATACATTTGTAATCCAGTGCGCTAAGCTTAGCAATTTCTTCACTCAGATATCAAGTTTGCCATGGAATAACAATCAAGCACATTGTGAAAAGCAATTTCTCTTTTGTTATAATGTTTTTGTTTTCTTTTTTATTTAGAGATTAGTTCTTTTGTGAGTCACCCTGTATATTTTGTTAACTATTTGGTACAAAAGGCCATATTAATTTAGATTTAACAGAGAAAGTAATTTCTCATTTATAATGTTTTGTTTTCTTTTTTGTTTATAGATGAGCTCTTTTTGTAAGACACCCTGTATAATTTTTAAAATATCTGGTACAAAAGCCCATGTTAATTTAGATTTAACAGAGAAAGTAATTTCTCTTTTGTTATAATATTATTTATTTCTTTTTTGTTTAGATATTAGTTCTTTTTTTTAGACACCCTGTATATTTTGTAAACTATATGGTACAAAATGCCATATTAATTTAGATTTTTGTTGTATTTATTGAAGTCGTACATAAAAAGCAATAAAATAAAAGTATTAATTTCGAAATAAGCCAATGTCCATATTTTCTTATGATTCGATCCATTGTGCGCCGTCCCGGTTACAGTTCATGTTGATCGCATTAAAATAATATTGAAATCATGGCTTTGTCATAATATTTAAGTATTTTAGTTTTTTTGCTAGTGCAGTTTAAATTTAATTATATTTTATACAATGAAAATATCGTTGTTCTTTTTGCGATATATTTATATTTTGTAAATTATTTTTTTTTTACTATCCCTGAGTCGTTTTTTTTGTATTGTATTTTATTAAGAGTGGGTCCTGGTGGACATTCCACTCTGGCCGCAAGGGTCTATTTTGACTCAACACTACAATAATAGTTAAATTTCACTCTTTTAAGACCTAACCTTTTAATGTAGGTGGTTATATCCGAGGGCGATATGTCTCCAAGATCTTGTTAAGCCAGCAGTGGTCCAGAAGTAGGTACACAGAACGTGATTCGTACTGTCATAAATTTCCATGTAGAGTCGGCGTTCTGGGTTAGGTTAGGCCGAGTCCCATCTTTAAAATACAATACTTGATCTCAGCTTGCAGTGGTCCGTGTATGCTGCAGTGTGCATACATTCGCCATTTCTGCGTCTGGATGGCTATGCGTTTGGCAGATTTCTTTGGCATATTGCATTCGTGAAATATCATTTCCCTAATCCATTCACGGGCCGATACCCCCGGTAACGACACGTCGGCGTCGTATCTCCCAGTAAACTAAATATTTTCTACAGTGCAGAATTGTTATGGACGCGCATATTTTCTTTCACGCTGTCAGCGCCGTTTGACTTGACGACTGACGGTTTGACTATCTCGCTGCTCTTTTCTAAAGAATATTCTTGGAGATGATTAGAATTATTTGAAGAGAAGATATGTCGCGAAGGGTTTATATAGATTTTGACGGTTTAAAATGAAAGGCAATAGCCACCGTTAAGCATGCTTGCTGTTATAATTCCGACATTTGCCGTTGCCATAACTTCCTTAATCTTTGCCGTTGTTTGGTTGGCTTTTTTGATTTTTGCTAGTGCCGTTATTCAAACTATAACCTTCTATAAACTTCTCAGGTACGAAGCTTGTGTAATGTGACGCTGTTTTTCAGGTAGTAAAAATTAAGTGAAAAAGAACCCTAAGGGCTTAATGGAATTAATGAAATAATGGAAATTATTACATTAATATTAACTCACGATTCTTACATTGATAGTAACTACAAAAACTACTTTTGAATTGATAAACCGCTAACTTTAAACGTTCTCATATTATTAGGTAGCATATTTTGTTTAAATAAAAGGATAAATAATAATAAATATTATATTTAAATAATAAGTTATATGATTTATATTATGTCTTATAGTATTTAATCAAATATATTTTTACTTCTACCAATTCGTTGTATTTCATTACTGGATGTATTTTCCGGCGCTTCGCAGATATAACTGTACCTAGTAGAACAGTCAGTCCCTTTATACGCATACGAACGTAAAGCTGGATTATAGGCAAGTGTTAAACATCGACCGTCTCCTTGAATCGTCGAAGATGGGTTTTCTTTATTATCGTGTGTGTTTGAAGGTAGGACTGGACGAGCACTATTACTCCAAATCCATAGAAGACCTGGATTTAATCCTCCAACCCAAAAATCTTTACCTAAAAGCAAAAGTATTAACAGGGTGTTTCAAAAAAATGTATGCCATTTCTCATGGAAAGATTCCACACGTTAAAATAAGATTTATTTTTTACATTAACATATAGGTCCGATTTTCCTTTGTTTCGTAGCTACAGGGGGTTAAAGTCTACTTTTCTTTCGATCTATTATAATTTCCTTCCTAGTGCCTTTAGCGATTTGAATGACATTTTTAGGGTAAAAATTACTTTAAATATTACATAATTTAATGCTAAAAAAGTGTGGACAGATTCACGAGGGACGTGTATGGGGTACTGAATATTTTTCTAAAAAAAGTGTACACCAATGACTTTTTTTCTAATTAGCACAGTTGCGTAGGCCGTTTAATGCCGATTGTCTCTTGATATTTTATCTATTTCGATCTCCTATGAGATAAACACGATTATATTAATATGCATTAATCCAAGTCTATCAATCTTTAAAAATGTTTAATGTTATTAACTGGCCAAAGTGTTAAATAAGTACTCATTGATTGATTATCAAAAAATATGAAAATAAGTTCCTAAACATGAGTGCGGAAATATGCATAGTTTTAAAAATGCAGGACGTTAAAACTTAAAAAAATATGTCTTTTGTAATTATCTTAAATACCATTATTTTTGTTTTGAAATTTGCTGCAGGTAGCACTGAATATCAGTGTTATATAAATTTTATATACAGGGTGTCCCAGAAATAAGTGCAAATATTTTAACTGGTAGCATAGTTCAACCTCAGAAACACGCCTACGAGGTTTTTTTTGCGAAAAAAAATGTTGAAAATTTAAAATTTTTCTTGACATTTTCCGGGAAATTTGAAAAAACTTTTTAGTGCCACTTGTTTATTAACCTGAGATTTCCCTACGGTATATCTAAACTTTGCAGTGTTGCAACCTCCTATGTTATCCACATTCTACATAGTTCGGCGGAGCATAGTTCTACATTTAAATTCATAGACAAATTTCTACTCAAAAAATTAGGAATGTTAAATTTAATCTTTTATCAGTGCTCATTATTAATAATTATAGAAAAATATAACACATTAATTATTTTTAGTACTTACCCTTATGAAAACTTAACAAAAACCACCGAAAATTAACTAAAACATTACGTTTATGACGTTTACGAAAATCTTTGTTATGCTGCAAAATAACTTTATTTTGGAATAAATTTAATAAAATGATTCATATTATTCACAATCAGGTCACAAAAAGAAATTCCTAAAATGTTTATCGTAATTTAGAATTCAATTCAAGAAATTTAGAAAACAGCCTAACGAATAATCAGTTCATTTTTGTTTTGTTTGTTTTCTTTCATGTTTCTCTGTTTTATTTGAACCGCTGTTTTACAAAACACCTTGAAAAGCGCACATTACTTTCAATCTAAGAAAATACATGTTTCACTCAACAATTATTGACAACGTATTTTGTTTTTTCGCTATTTTTTCGATGTATTTCGACAATTCCATCGACAGCCTAACCGTCAACCAAGAACTGCCGCGTGTGAACCGGTCCATTGAGTCGCCGGTCGCCGCGCCGTCGCACAGTAGTTCCCTCCCTTATAAAAATTTGGCCAAAACTCAATATATCGAAAAAAATTATTTTGATCATATATGATCAAATATTTTATAATATATATTTAAGAACATGAAAGGTTTGTTATAAAAATATATTTTGGAAATTCATGCACTTTAGAGCACTTATGTGATAACATTTTATATGCAATAGTCTAAAAAGGCATATATAACTGTTTTTGTATCGACAATGAATAAATTACTCACTTAGTGTTTTCAAAATAATATTAAACAGTGCATTTTATAATTAGACCATACTGCACGTATACTTTCCTCATATAATATCAGTTTTTGACAGATAAAATGAAAAAAAAATAGTACTAACCATTTGAAAATATCAAAATTATATTGTACCTGTGAAATATATTTTATATACATAACTAAATCAAGGATATCGCAGCTGAACTAAGTGATTGTTTTTAACTTAAATGAAACTTTATAATGTCTTTTTTGAGAACCATGTCAAATTAGCTGCTAATATCTGCTATTCAGCATAAATTGTCTTGTAAACAAACGTCTTATATAAATGTTGCATGGTTTATAAATGTGCATTTAAAAAATTGAAATAGAGCATTTTAAATATTTCATTATTAGCCACGCCATAAAAAATGACCGGTATAAGATAATGTGAGTTTTTCTTCACAAATTTATTCTATTTTCTTTGGCGTTAAGAAAATATTGGTAAAGTACAGGGTATTAACATAGTATAGCATTAGATATTAACAAATATAAATTAACCTCAGATTTTAACCAATTTTCGGATATACCTACTATTATTAATGAAAATTTTAATAAATAAGAAATAGCATGGTAACACCGCATAGTTTTTCAAATAAAAATAGTGTCCTATATGCACAATTTTATGCTGAATCAAATTATGTACAGAAAAAAGAGAGTTATGATTTAAAAAAGCCCAGGATTTTATCATTACTTTGGGACACCCTTTATACAACAAAATATTTTTAGTATATGCACCTTAATAAAACATGCAAATATTTATATAATACTTTTTTCATATTTTCGTCTACGCAACGACGATATTGAACTTTCTCACACTTATGGGCCACCCTGTATCTTTATTAGCTTATCAACGATTTACCGCATATCTTCTAACCATTGTTCATTCTGTTTGTTGTTTTTTTTTCCTAATTTTTTATAAATACCTTTATTAATATTGGTAAATAAATTGCGCTTTTTTAAATTCTAATGAATCATCATCGTTACTTTACCTGTATAATTGAAAACGTCTAACGATAAAGAACTTTTTTTATATGTTTGGCAACTCCAAACGCCTAAATATTTATAGATTTACTAAAAAATATTAACGATACATTAATTTTCCCCGATATAATAATATACAGGTTTTGGCCACGTACGTCCATAAGAGCGAACCAGTGTACGTCGTGGCGGGCTTGCGTCAGACGACGATGTTAAGCAACGTTGCCGTAGTTACAACAATTTCAAATTCAAGACATTCGAAGCAATCAAATTCGTATTAAATTTTAAAAATAAAACAGAGAAACATGAAAGGAAATACACAAAACAAAAATGAGTTGATTATTCGTCGGGCTGTTTTCGATGTATTGAATTCTGAATTACGATAAACATTTTAGAAATTTCTTTTTTGTGACCTTATCAATAACCAATTCATTTGTGTTTTGTTTGTTTTCTTTCATGTTTTTCTGTTTTATTTTTAAAATTTAATAAGAATTTGATTGCTTCGAGTGTCTTGAATTTCAAATTGTTGAAACTACGACAACCTCGCATGACACAAGCTCGATACGGCGGCGCGACAAAGGAGCAGTTACCAGTGATGCGCCGCTCTCTTGGCCGACGGCCGACGCGACGGTTGCGCTGTCGATGGAATTGTTGAAATACATAGAAAAAATAGCGAAAAAACAAAATACGTATTTAAAATTGTTGAGTGAACATGTATTTTCTTAGATTGAAAGTAGTTCGGAAAGTGGCGGTAAGAGACAATAATTCTCAACATTTATTCATTCAGAAAGGTATTCAAAGTAATGTGTGCTTTTCAAGGTGTTTTGTAAATCAGTGGTTCAAATTGTGATGAGGCCTATATGAAAATAATGTGTTAAAAATGGGGACTGTTATTTTCGATTAACTGTCACAGTTACATCGATCTGTCATAAGTATCTTTTTTAATGTTGGGTAAGTTTTTTAATTTAACTTTTTTAACTTTTAAACATTTAACTTTTAATTTATTTTATGTAATAATATCACAATCTTAAAAATGTCAATTCGTCATGTCGTCAATGTTGGGTAAGTTTTTTAATTTAACTTTTTTAACACATTTTTTAATACATTATTAAACATTTAACTTTTAATTTATTTTATGTAATAATATCACAATCTTAACAATGTAATGCATCTCTGCAAACTCCTCAGGTGTGTTGTGATTTTATGACTTACTTTTAACATATACTTTCTTGTCCCTATGGCAACACAGTGCGTCGAATTAACTGAAATCCGGGCTTGATCCGGGTAATTGGATGTAGTTGGCGATATCTGCCGGCGGTTCTCAAAATGTTGCGATTATTTTTTTACATTTTCAAAGTTAAATAACTCGGTTATTTTCAATTTAATTTAAAAATGGTAAAGAGAAAATATGTTTATTTTGACCAGATCTACCACCCCTTAAAATATCTGCACTCATTTCTGGGACACCCTGTATATAATCTACGACAATGTCATTATGACTATGACACATTTAACATTGTCATTTGGATGTCATTATGGCTTTCATAATAGCACCAGATAGCACTAGTGCTATTATGAATTCATAATAACACGCAAATTTTAAAACAAGAAATAAGCAAAAAAAGGTGTACCTAAATACGTTTATTTACTCGTATTGTAAACATTAATTATAATCTCAGTACAATTGGTAAAATTAATTCAAGACGATGACAGGTGAGTTGAATTTTTAGAAAGTAAATTTATTTCCTGAGTGTTTGAGCTTGTTGAAGACCCATCATTGCCAGAAATGTTACCCAAAATAATACATAACACTTTTTTCTTATTTTCTTTGGAATTTTCTATATAGCTCTCTGCCACTTTGTTAGAGTGCCAACCACCATGTCTTTTAACAGTTAATAAATCCACTCCTGAATCTACAAGCAACGACGCAGACGATCTACGGAAACAATGTCCAGTGTATTGTTGTGGATTTGGAAGGCTTAGGAACAATGCTATTTTATACGGCATTTTCCCTAAAGTATTATATTATAGCCAACGGGTTGCTTCATACATTTTCCATTTCTGTACCCCACAAAAAATCGAGTATGCTCTTTGTTGCTTGGCCGCAGAGCTATATATCTTCGAACCATTTCCACCATATTTATTCCTTCAACATTCCCTTTCGTTATAAAAAAAATCTCGTGATATCTTTGTTTTC